CGGCAGCAGCAACATCGTTGTCACGAACAACGGTGCGTCTTTCTCTTGCTCTTGCACACACACATACACACACATACACACACGTACACACACACATACACATACACACACTCAACCCCAATATACATCGCTGTGGTGGTTTTGTTGCGCCGGCTGTCATACAATACAAGTACCTCGTGTTTGTCAGTCCATGCACAAAGTACCATCTCTCGTGCATCTCATCTCACGCGCACACTGCTTGCATCATGCCGCACAACCCCCCCCCCACACATACACATCACCAGGGCGCGCAACCGAGCCAGCCAGCTCCCCGTGTGCCGGAAGCCCGGGGCCCTGCCGGCGGTGGGCGGAGCGCTGCGCCACGGACCACCCGCGTGGCGGAGCAGGACACATCGTCATCGTCGTGCGGATGCTTTGGCCGCCGCCGCAACAAGAGATGATACGCAGACAAGCGGTGACACATGTCATCGCGCACGCTCGTGGACAACGGCAGCTGGCAGCATGGGTGTTTGAAGCGCAGCGCAAGTGGTGTGAGGCGTGTACTTGTATCACTAGATGAGTGGGCGGATGGATGAGGGCAAATGTTTGTTGGTGATGGTGATAGAAGTTGGGGGGGGGGGAAGGTTGGCGGTGTCGAGGAGGTGTATGTGTAGCAGGCAGGTTGGTTGGTCGGTTGGTTGGTGGAAACGAGTGGTCTTTTTCCGCTGATGACAGCGACAACAATGACGGCGGCAGATTGATCAATTTGGGAGGAAGACGAGGCAACCAATGATGGATGTTTAGTGTGAAGCTTGTCATGTCTCCTTTTGTTTTGTTTGGGCGTGGTTGACTTCTCGTCACGTCATGTTGTGCTAAGTGCGACCGCTGGGCTCGGCATGCACGCGCGCGCAAACATGTCCGTATTTTTCCCTGATATCTCTTTTGTCGCTGGCGCCGTGGCCGCGGAGTATCCTTCTTTCCCTAGCTTGAACCGCGCTCCAGGCTTGTGCTTTGAACACTGCGCTCGGTCCAGCTGTCGTGTTCACCGTCTGTGCTTCCGCTTGCCGCTGCTCTGTATTCTTCCCCCTTGTCTGTCTGTGTCTCCTGCTTGTCTGCGTTTCCCTGTCCCGCTCCTCCCGCCCTTTCCCCTGCCCTCTGCTCCTTTTCTGCTCTCTCCCCTCTCCCCTGCCCCTCGTCTCTTCCCGCTCGCCTTTGCCCCCCCCCCTCCGTGCCCTCTCTCTGTTTCGCGCCCTCTCTGTCCCTTGCTCGCTGTGCAACCCCGTGACATGATGACCACAGCACTCTGTGTTGTGAAATGATTGATTGGCTTGCTGTTCGTTCCTACTACTAGGTTTTGTCTGACTTTTGCGCCTTCCATGCTTGCTTGCTTTTGCTTTCCTGCTTTGTTTTCCCTTGCTTCTTTGGCTCTTGTGATCCATCCATCCATCCGACGCTGTTTTTGTTTTCTTGTTACAGTCCGCTAAACCAACAGGCGTGTTGTGTGTGTGTGTGTGTTGTGGCGTGTGCGATGATATGTTGATGAGTGCGGCCTATTTGTTTTTCGTTTGTTGTACCTTCGCCATCTCCGTCTTTTGTCTTCATGGTTTGTCATTGCCGGCTCTCCTCTTTTGGTGCCTTGCAGCACGTTTGTTTTTGTTGTTTGCTCGTGCGTTCGTTGCTTGACAGGTCCACAGACAATACATCACACACAAACAAGCAAGACTCTGTGTGTGTGTGTTGTGTGTGTGTGTGTGTGTGTGTGTGTGTGTGTGTGTGTGTGTGTGTGTGTGTGTTTTGTGTGTGTGTGTGTGTGTGTGTGTGTGTGTGTGTTTTGTGTGTGTGTGTGGGGTTTATTGGGGAAAACTCGCTGAAATCTTACACTGCTCCCAGCGCTCAGAGATGGGGAAGGCAATTGCGGCAAAACAAAGGGCAGCGGTGCGCATGGGTGAATGTGTGTGAGAGCACGCGCCTCATAGACAGAAAGAAAAGTGAATCAATAGATAGATAGAAACCAAGTGCCTCGGTGCGAGGCTCATGTGTAGTGCTGCGACTGTCGCTTAGACAGTTGCAGGGGGCTCTGTTGCGGCCGGGCCACCGGGGCTTCGTGAGGTCACTGGGGCGCTGCGTGGCTGTCCCTCATCGTTGTCGGTGGTGGCGGTGGCAGCGGCGGTGGCAGCAGTGCCGTTGTTGCTGTCATTGCTGCGCTGGCCGCTGTGGCCGGGGGGTGTGGTCTGCGGACGCTTGTGTGTGTGTGTGTGTGTGTGTGTGTGTGTGTGTGTGTTGTGTGAGTCGTCGCATGTTCCACCGCCACGAGCGACACACGACAGCCAAAAATACACAAACAGCAGCTGACAACCAGTCCCAAACGCGCAAGCGCAAGAAGCGAGCTGCTGACGAGTGCGACGATAAGATGGACTTGGACGTTGGCGGAGGCAACGGAGGCTTCGTGCCTGCCGGCGAAGCACAAGCTGCTGCACACTGGGATCCACACTCCAAGGCGGTTGGTTAGGTGGTCTTGCCATTGCACACGCGCGCATTGGGAGCCTGTGGATGGTCCCCTGGTGAAGCTGGTGAAGCTGGTGAAGTTGGTGAAGTGATGAGGGATTGAGTGTGGGTTTCTTGCATCCCTCCAATGCGCCTGAGAACAAACCGTTCTCACACGTGTGCTCGCCATCCTGACCTCATGCTGTTTCCCGTGTGCACGGCAGGCGGCACGGTTTACCCACGCCTTTGTCGGCGGTCTCTCCATGATGATCGTGTCTGAGATTGGCGACAAGACCTTCTTCATCGCAGCCATCATGGCCATGAGGTGCGTGACATGTGCATGTGGAATATGTGGATATGTGGATATGGATATGTGGATGTGGCGTGTGTATGTGTGCGTGTGTGTGTATGTGTGCGTGCGTGTGTGTGCGTGTACATGTGTATCATTTGGTTGCGTGTATGTTAGAGTGTGCCACTTCCTCCTACTGTTTGTCAGTGTCTACAATGTGTGTGTGTGTGTGTGTCACAGGCAGGCACACGTACTCTAATGAAAGAAATCCACTGTTGATACTTTATGGCATGGCTTCCTCTTGTCAACTGCTCTCCCCTCTCCCCACCCCATTGCAATGTTTGCAGGCACCCACGGTTTATCGTGCTGGCGGGTGCCGCCGTGGCACTCATCATCATGACGGTCCTGTCGGCGTACATTGGGTCCCTTGCCACGATCATTCCCCGCCATTACACCAACATGATCGCCACGCTCCTGTTTGTGTTTTTCGGTCTGCGACTCCTCAAGGTGTGTGCGCCTGCGCCACAAGCATCACACAAATATCACACACAGACACACACGCACACACATCTGTGTGCCTTGCTCCCACTTGTGGTTGTGTCTGCAATGATGCAAACGTGGCTGACACGTGGGCTTTCCTGCCATGCAGGAGGGCTACAGCATGGCGCCAGATGAGGCAGCGGAGGAGTTGGAGGAAGTGACACAGGAACTCAAGGAGAAGGAAGATAAGCTCTCTGCATCTGAGCAACGTGAGTGTGTGTGTGTGTGAGAGAGAGAGAGAGTGTGTGTGTGTGTGCGTGTGTGTGCGTGCGTGTGAGTGTGTGTCCGTGCTTGTGTGCGTGCTTGTGTGTGTGTGCGTGCTTGTGTGAGTGTGTGTGCGTGCTTGTGTGCGTGCTTGTGTGAGTGTGTGTGTGTGTGTGTACTTGTGCGTTGCAACGCAACTGCGCGACCATGTTTCGTCCATTGCTCAGGCGATAGCCGCCTCATGCCTTCTGTCCTGCAACCACGCATGCGCATCAATGCTTCTTTGCTGGGGCCCCAGAGCCCAAGCCATGGTCGAAGATTGTGTCGCCTGTGTTTGTGCAGGCGTTTGTGCTGACGTTCTTGGCCGAGTGGGGCGACCGCTCCCAAATTGCCACCATCATCCTCGGTGCCCGCGAGGTCAGCTGTGTGTGCGTGTGTGTGTGTGTGTGTGCGTGCGTGCGTGTGTGCGTGCGTGCGTGTGTGTGTGTGTGTGTGTGTGTGTGTGTGTGTGTGTGTGTGTGTGTGTGTGTGTGTGCGTGCGTGCGTGCGTGTGTGTGTCCTGTGCAGGGCGTTGTGTTAATGCATTGATACTTTTCGCTCTTGTGAGTCGTCTCGATTTGCATTCATTTTTCTCCGCCACCTTCCTCCACCCCCTGTTGTGTGCGCGCACCTCCATCTCATGATCTCATGCCTGACCTCTTTGTTACTCTGCTTGCATGTACTGCGTCTTCGCCTGTAACCATGACACGCAAACGCGCGCGCACACACACGCACACACACACACACACAACATAGAACACGCTTGGTGTTGCGCTTGGTGCCAGTCTCGGGCACGTCCTCTGCACGTTCATTGCCGTAGTTGGCGGTCGTCTTCTTGCCCAGCGCATCTCCGTTCGCACAGGTCTGCGCCCATGCGTGCGCGTGCGTATGTGTACGTGTGTGTACGTGTGTGTACGTGTGTACGCGTGTGTACGTGTGTACGCGTGTGTACGTGTGTACGTGTGTGTTTTTGTATGTTTGTGTGCGTGTGCATGTGTGTGTGTGCATGTGTGTGTGTGCATGTGTGTGTGTGTGCGCGCATGTTGCCACTCGTATTTGTGGGCAATTACCGCAGCGCGGCGACACGAACACCACCACCACATTTTGCGCGACGACATCAAATTATTTCCTATCACAACAACAACAACAACAACAACAACAACAACAACAACAACAACAACAACAACAACAACAACAACAACAACAACAACAACAACAACAACAACAACAATCCCCGCCTCACCCTCCTCCTGTTCAACCCCCCGGTTCATGCTGTTGTTGCGCAGTGACGCTGATTGGCGGCGTGGTGTTCCTGCTGTTTGCGCTGACGAGTTTCATCATGGACTCGGCGGGTTCTGATGATGACGACAGCGGCCTTGGCTCCTTCTTCAAGCAGCAGCAGCAGGAAGACCAGCAGCCGCCGATTGTCGTCAATTAGGCCCCCTCCCCCTATTCGCTCCCTCTCGCAACTCATGGCGCATGTAAACAAAAACACCATGCATGAGGTGCGAGCTCAAGCGAGCACACCGACCCGTCGTAGTGCGTGCATGCGTGTATGCGTGTATCGACCACAGTTGCTGCTCTCTCCCATGACTTTTCGTTGGCATACGTCCATATGTAGGTTCCTGTGCAGCCCCCGCTGGCTGGCTACTCGCGTTGTGAATGCCTGCAGCGTGCCTGGTGCTGCTGCGTCTCTGTTAAAACGTTTGAGTGCTTGCGGCGTGTGTTTCGTGCTGATGTGTTTGCTGTATAAGACCACCGCCCAGTCGTGCAGTTTGTTGACATTGTGTTGTTGTGCGCACTTTGTTGCAGTGTCACATTATCAATCCTGTCACAATCACAATCCAACCACGTACTTGGTTTGTTTGTTTGTTTGTTTTGTTTTGTTTGTTTGTTTGTTTGTTTTGTTTGTTTCGTCCAGTGTTTGTTTGTTTTCACATGATTACCAGGTGTATTGAAACCTCTCACATCAGACGAAGTGCAGTGCGGCGTTGTTTACTTTGATGCCGAGGGAAGGCGCGTGCTAGAGAGCACGAACGAAATATGGAGAGGGAAACAGAGGAATAGGTAGGGGGAGGGAGAAATGGCAGGCAAGTGGGTAGAAAACAGATAAGGCACACAGACACAGAGGCAAAGGCCCAAGGGCAAAGGCACACACACACACACAAACATACACATATATACACACACAGACAGACACACGCACACGCACACGCACACAGACACACGCACGCACACGCACACGCACACGCACACACACAGATACACAGACAGACAGACAGACACACGTACACACACACACACCAGATACACAGACAGACAGACAGACCCCGTGTACACACCCCCCACCCACAGATCCACAGACAGACAGACAGACACACGCACGCACACGCACACACACACACACACACACACACACACACACAAACATACGCAAACATGCACGAAGCTAGTCGAACTTGCGTTTGAGGCGGTCCTTGAAGAGAACGGGCAGCAACGCAAGGCAGCCGAGCGCCGATATGCGCAGGATGGACGACAAGGAGACAACCTCTCCCGTGCTGGTGAGCTCCTCAAGCACGCCACCAGCCTCCACATACAGCAGGCAGGGTGGGGCGACCCCGATAAACGTGCCAAGCCAGAAGGACCACATGTTCACGCCAATCACTGCAGGAGCGAGAGAGGAGGAACGAGGGGGGGGGGAGGGGTGAGTGGGGGGTGTGCTGGTGGTAAATCAGGGATGGGTTTGCTTGCGCTCACCGGAAGCAGGCTCGGATAAGGAAGCAAGAAAGCGGCCACGTCAAGTGGTCATACGGAAGCGAAGATCAGTCAATACACAAACGCATGCGTCAGTGAAACAAAAACATATAGACACACACACACACACACAGAGGCAAACACACAGACACAAGTACCTGGGCTGGCTACGTTGATGAACCAGTTTGGGAGGAACGGTGTCGCCCGGAGGAAGATGACAAAGAAGAGAAGATTGTCCTTGTGATGCTCAACCTGAAGCAGAGACAAGCAGAGATCACGTCAACGCAGGACCGTGAGATCATGCATGGCGCAACACTCAAAACATGATTGAGGCGGATGGGCGAGATGCAACACTGACACACACAGACAGACATAGACGGACACAGACGGACACGCGCACGCAGAGACGTACACAAACACACACGCACACACACACACACACAGACGGACACGCGCACGCAGAGACGTACGCACACACACACACAGACAGACCCAGACCCAGACCCAGGCCCAGGCCCAGACACACACCACACACACACACACACACACACACACACACACACACACACACACACACACACACACACACACACACACACACACACACACACACACACACCCTGGTTCTCCATTCTGCGCATCGACGTGGAAAGTAGTAGGAGACAATGTCTTTGAGAAACATCTTGGAGTTGAGATAGCAGCCAGTTGCTCCAAAGGCAGACGCAGCACACACGTAGAGCAGCGCCAGGTAGGATGGGGAGAAGAGCGTGCCGCTCAGGATGCAGAAGAAGATGGTGACTGGAATGCAGAACGACTGCGCAATGATGTAGGTTACCATCCACAAAATGAGCACAGACATGTAGTAGTCGTCACGGTACTTCAGCAGCACGCGCGCCAGCGCCTTCGTGTCTTCCAGGTCCCGCGGCAGCTTGACATGCTGCCAGTCCTCACTGCATTCATTACCACCAAGCACGAACGAACAAAACAAAGGAGGGAGGAGGCGTTAGGTGTGAGCCGTGTGCGCGCAACAGGGAAGAGATCGTCATAGTGCGTGTGGCGGACAGCGACAGGGATGGGTGGAGATCGTGGTGGTGTTGGAGATGGAGATGCAGAAAGCATGCAGAGAGATAGAGAGGGCTATCTGGCCGCACAAACAGACAGAGGGACAGAGAGGCAGAGAGGCAGAGAGGCAGACGGACAGTGGGTGAAAGACACAGACACAGACACACAGACACAGACACAGACACACAGACACACAGACAGACAGCCAAACAGACATACATACACACACACACACACAGACACACATCCCCTACCTGTCAACTGGGGGCATGTGAGCGAGGATGAGAAAGTAGTAGACGGCTGCGACCACTGCGAACGTAAATGCAAACCCGAGCAGTGCCATTCGCTTCGATGGGCGTGAGGAATCATCATCGCCAGCACCACCATGACCATGCCGACTACCGCCACCGCTGGCATCACCACTCCTCGCTGCAGCTGCTGCAGCTGCTGCAGCTGCTGTTGCCCGTGCTGGTCTCTTCTCCACCATTGCCACTGCTACCCTTGCCACCACGCACACGCTCGCTCAGCAACCAGCACGACTTGTCGTCCGTTGCTGTCGTTGCTGTTGCTGCTGTTGTTGTGGATGTGTCAGCAAAATTCATTCCACGCACACAACAACACAACCGCTTCTGCTCTCCTTGCTGATGTGACTTGCTGCTGATTGGAGCAGCGCACACCCACACACCCACCCGGCAACACTGCACGTTTGTCACGCATAACCAGTGGGAGTGCCTGCTCCCCACAACGTGATGTCAGGTGCGTGTGCGTGCTGCGTGTGTGTGCGTGTGTGTGCTCCTGAGAGGAACACGTCCTTGACACTGAGGTTGCAGATGGCGAGAGCGTACTGCCCATCAGTGGTGGTTGCTTGCTTGATGCCAAACGTCATGCCACAATCTTGGTTGCTTGTCTGCTCACTCCGTCATCGTTGCGCCCTGCACACAGACGATCGCGGGCCACCTTCAGATCAATATCACGCCACCACTCCTCAAGAGGGCAGTGAAGGTACACCAGCGTCCGTGGGCTTCAGTAGGCTCCGCCGCGGTGAGTGTGTGCGTGTGCGTGTATGTGCACACGGAACGCCCAACACCGACATGCATGCATGCATGCGTGCGTATGTGCGACGATGGATGCCACAGCCAAAGGGGCACTTTGCCCCTGTTGTCATGCCCCTCTGTTCAGGGTGTCCAAACGCTTGGCTACTGTTGTTTGCTCGTGCATGCTACATCCTCCTTGCGCACGCGCGTGCATCGTCGTCCTTCTTGTCATGGAAGGCAACACTGTGTCGCCAACCAACGAGCCAACCACTGACTTGCGTTTGCTCATCCTTGCTTGTTGGGCCCTTCCTTCCCGTTTGTGCAGCTTCGTTGATGGGCCTGACCGCCACCCCGTTGCTACCGCCTCTTTTGCCGTGGTCATCAGCCAATATGGAGCCTTCGCAGCCGACACGCAGCGGCGATCCCGTCCTTAACGCCCTCGTCGCAGAGTTTGAGCGGGCTGCAGAGCAGCGCCTGCTGAACATCCTCGACGATGCAGAGGTTGGCAGGACACACTTGATCAGTGGCCTTTGCTGTGTGTTTGAACAATGCCCTCTTGCTCACTCCGGGCAGCCACCTTCATGACCACAAGCCGCTTGTTCTCGGCGCGCTTGCACGCCTCCATGCACAGCTGGCACGCGCAGTTTTCACGCAATCAGGCAACGCTAACGAACAACACGTGTCCGTGCGTGCGCCATCGGCGTGCCACTGTCACTTGGTGTGTCATGACAGGCAAAGGGCGTATCTGTCGCCAAGCTGCTGCGCCATGGAGTGGACGAGACGTTTGACCACCACATCCACGCCCTGGGCGTGATGGCGGAAGACGAGAAGCGCCTTGCTGCGCTCGTGGACCGCCTCGTTGCATGGCGCGCACAACTGGTACACACACACACACACCTGAACCAGCCAGTCAGACACACACACACAGACACACAGACAGACACACACATACACGAGATGGAATTGTGGCGTGACGTGATCTCATCACACACACACACACACACGCACACACACACACACACACACACACACACACACACACACACACACACACACACACACACGTTCTCTGTTGTAATGGTTTGCACAGGGTGTCCACGATCCTCCCCGCCATTCACGCAATCCATCGCCGGTGCCAAGGTTGGTCGCTTGGTTGTACACGTCACGCGTGCATGCATGCATGGTTGTTCATTCTGATCCTTGCCTCTTTATCTCTGTGCGTTGGCTGTGTGATGGTTGTTCACCATGCCCACACCTCCACCCAACCGCCGATCCAACAGGCGCCACGATTCGTCTGCAGCGGATGAGGAGCTCTCGGAGCGACGCGAGGTATATGTGCATGTGTGCATGTGTGTGTATGTGTGTATGCGTGTGTTCGTCCGTGTGTGTTGTACGAAAGCATGTGTGCGCGTAAGCGGGTTTATCTGTTGCAGATGTGTATTGTCTTCACGCTTGCAGGGGGCCCTCTGCTCACCCTGCACATGCCACGTGCCCTTGCGCCTCGCCGTACCACCTGTTTGTACAGCTGGGAATCAACTTCATCTTCTGTCGTATACTGATCGGCGTTCTCGACAGCGTAAGGCATTGCTTCTCTGTGCGTGCTTGGGGTTGTGGTACGTGCTGAGTGGGGCCTGGTGACACGATGCCGTCTACAGCGAATCTGCTCGTCGCTGTGCAGAAGCAGCCCTAATCTTGCTGTTTCCATGGTGTGTGCTCGTGTATGCATGTATGTTTGCATGCATGCATGTTGTGCCGTGCCACCTGCGTGTGTATTGTGCACATGTGTGTGGTGTGCAGCGCGCGGTAGTGCTGCCGCATCAACTCGTCAAAACAATCGTTGGCATCTGCTTCCTCCACTTTGGACTCGATGAATGGTGCGTTGAAGCAGTTAGATGTGCGTGTGTGTGTGTGAGTGTGAGTGTGAGGGGCATTGTACTCACATTATCCTTCTGATCAATGACACCATCATACATATGAACAGTTTTTCTTTTTCAGTCTCACCCACTCTCACATTCACGCACTTTACCACACATTCACGCACACCTGCTTGCTTTCCCAGTGTGAGGAGCGGAAAGAACGTTTCGAGCGCACGCGATGTCGCTGCGCAGTTTGCAGAGGCTGTCGGTGTCATTTCCCAAACTTGGTAATGCAGTCTGCTTTGAAGAAGAGATGAAGGGGAAGGAGGGGGAGATTGCCATGCACGGTTGAGGTTGAGAAACGAGTAAGTAGTTTTGTGTATTCACTTGAGCACCGCCGTTACTCACACACACATACACAAACACACACACACACACACACACACACACACACACACACACACACACACACACACACACACACACACACACACACACACACACACACGTGAAGTTTCACAATTGTGTCGGAGTACTTTCTGCGTGTGCTGCGGGAGTACAGCCACGATGTCATGTACATGGCAACCGTCATCAACAGCATGCGCTTCCTGTGCATCAAGCTCTATCCCGTTGCAGACCTGGAGGCATGCTTCCTCTTTCTTGGGGTGCGCCTGTTTTGACTTTGCTGCCAAACACATGCTGTTGACACGGTCACGTCATCCGTTCTCTTGTACCCGCTGTGTGCACCCAACGTGTTCAGGCACACATACACAGGCACACATACACAGGCACACACACGCAACACACACAACACACACATACACACGACCAAGTTGCATAGGCTTGTGCTTGTGCTGCGATACCAGCACCATGGTGCCGCAGACCCGTTTCTCACTCCGTTTGTGTACGTATTTGGGAATGCGCACAACAGAAATGTGCACAGCACTTTATTGCTGCAACCAAGAAGGATCTGAAGCACGCGTGGTCGCAGCTGTTTGTGGAGCTCCTCCTGCCAGTGGCGGCGGTACGTCACCTACCACCACGCACGACCCCGAAACCACACACACACACACACACACACACACACACACACACACACACACACACACACACACACACACACACACACACACACACACACACACCCACGACCATGCGCACAATTACCTCGACTCGCCCACGTCAACTGCAGGAGCGGGTTGACATTGCGATGCGGTTCATCCTGGACGACCTGCTTGGTCCCGTGTCGTCCTCGGGCCGCGTGCTTCCGGAGCGCACCATCATCGCCGTACGCGCCGTCCTCCTCATCACCAACCAGCTGGAGAATGCAGAGCGTGTGCCGCCCATGCCGCTCAAGTCCGAGTCGCTGCCGTCCGCAACGGAGTCCCGCGCGCGCACGCTCCTCACCACCAGCTCGCTCTCCAAGGAGCAGGCCGAGATGATGGGCTTTGCGCAGTACCTGCAGCCTGTGCGCGACACCTTGAGCAAGCTGCTCACGCACCTTCACAACGAGGTGGGCACGCACAGCATGTTTTCGACACTGCCCTCTGACCGAAGCGCAGCGAGCCACAAGCCCAGCCTTGATCTCTACCGCACCTGTTTGGTGGCCGTGCCCCGCTTCTTCGACGACACGTGCATGCACTGGCTGTCGTTTGTATTTGCAGCCACGGTGCATGTTGATGCGGAGGTGCGCAAGCTGGCTTCCACGGTGCTGCAGTGCATTGTGCGCAACCAGAGCCATCTTCGCCCCGTTGTCCTTCAGAAGTTTGCCGCGTTTGTGGTTGCCTCGGTTCCCATTCGCAACCCAACTGCTATCGACACGTGTCTGCGCGTCGTCATCTATCTTCTGCGCCAGTGGACGCGCACTATGAAGGAGCGCGCGTGCGAGGACGCAGACGCTGTCACGAATCGGGTGGTGGCCCACCTCATTGGCTCCGACATCATGGCCTCACAGGTGACCTCATCACCAAGTGTTCACCTCTGCATCACGCTGATTGATGAATGTCAAATGCATCCAGCCACATTTACACTCTCTTCTCCTTCCCTGCAAACGCACACGCATGCACACATGCACACGTGCACAAACACACACACACACTCACACTCGCATCCACAACACACACACACACACTCACATACTCGCATCCACCGCACTCAACCCTTCCATTTGCAGAGCGACTTTGTGGACTTCAACGCTGCGCGATCTGAGCTGCAGCACCCTGCGCCCAGCCCCGCCCGCCGCCACACAGGCAGCGCACAGCCAGCGCAAGCGCGACAGGGAGCAACACCACCAGGCAGCCCCCGTGCAACACCACATGTCCGCGTCACGAAGCGGCGCCTGCGGCGTATTGGCGAGCAGATGGCAGATGAGGCAGACACACCAGCTGCCCAACACGGTGCCACCACTGCCAGTGCATCGGCCTCCACGATGGCAAGTGTTCCATCGTCCTCGGCATCGCCAGCAAAGACAGCAGCAGCGGTGCCGTTGACGACGTCCCGCGCACATGCACACGTGTCACAGCAGCAGGAGCAGGAAATGAACGAGCTCATCAACACGCTGGAAGGATTTTGCCTGGCAATGCTGCTGCAAGCACAGACAACCACCCGCAAACTCGCGTTTGTCGTGGCCAACGAGGTGCACACGCTTGTATCTGAGCTGGTGTTTCTCCATGCCTATCGCAAGCTGCGACAGCCGACAACGCTGCTATCCCAGCTCTTGGACCGTGACGCTGCACACGTGTTCACAGCGGCGGTGCACGAAGACCTGCACACGTCCTCCAGCACTGGTGACGACGACGACAACGCCGCGGCAGCAGCAGTTACAGCAGCGGCGGCAGCAGCCGTGACCGCCTCGTCATCGTCGGCTTCGTTCAGTGGTGCATCTGCCTCGCTCGCTGCCGCCGTTAGCGCTGCTGCTGTTGGTCGCATGTCCCGCACGCGCAGCGCCGGCAGTGTTGGCCTGTCCAGCAGCAACTCCTCTGAGCGGGGCGCCCGCAGCGGCGAGGGAAGGGATGGCCGCAGGAGCACCAAGGCCACGGATGCAGCAGGTGCGCCACGCTTGGCACCGGAGCTTATGAGCGATGACGTGTTGCGGGTGCTTCTGTCCTCCTCCCCAACGGGAATGGACGCGCCAGACATGTGGACGGCGCTCGTGTGCGGGGTCGTCCTGCACAACAGCGGCAGCGACGCGCACTTTGGTGATGTGCTGCGCATTGCCTGGACGTTCTCGCTGCGACTGCTACTGCGGGCCGAGGTGATGGACTGGGATGTGGCTGGCCATCGCTCCTCAAGCAAGCTTAAGCATGGCCCACGCGTCGCAGAGCAGGCGCTCCTCTCGTTCCGCGCACTCGTACACTTCCTCTTCTGCACTGCGGCGTGTGCACGGGAAGGCAGCGAGTCCGGCCACGCAGCGCAGCTCCTGCGCGCCTTTGACCAGCTGTCGGCGTCCCTCACGGCTGCGACATCCTCCACATCATCGTCGTGCGCGTCGTCAGCGTTGCTTCAGCACGAGGTGCCCTTGCAGCTGCACGGCTTCTTCCAGCTCGCAGCCGCGTTACTGCGCAGCGAGCAGCGTGCTGTTCGAGACATTGTCGTGGCTGCTGTGACGCGGGTTGCCGCCCCCGTGTTCCCGCAGCTGCTGGATGCACTCAAGCCGTGCTTCACAGAGGCGCTCGACCTGCGTTCTGAGAGCATGCGTAAGCGCCGGCGTCGAGACACGCTTCGCCTTGACCTCGTGCGTGTGTATGAGGCCGCTGCCTCTGCCGCTGCCCAGTGCTGCTTGCAGGGTATCCAGGCCAGCACCGTGCCGCCTGCACTCAAAGGGATCATCACGGGCATCCGAAACTACCTGGAAATTGATGGCGTGGGGGACACGGCGTACCTGCTCGTGATTCGCCGCCATTTTTGCGGGTTTGTCACCACGTTCATCAACACGCTCAGCGAAGATCCCTCCCTGTACCTGAGCTTCTTCACAAACGAGCTGCGCACGGACCTGTTTTCGCTCTTTGTGCGCTTCACGCCATGGCAGGTTGACCCAGCCGCCGTGGGCGCAGGCGAGAGCGCGACAAGCACAAGCACGCGCGGAGTCAGTGCTGTTGCTGCTGCTGCAGCTGCTGGCGTTGGTGCGTCTCGCTCATCCATGGCGCAACGGCCTGTGAGCGCGTTTCCGTTTCTGTTTCAGGTGCAGGATCACGATGCCGAGGGCGGGCCTGGTCAGGCCCGCCGCCACTTCCACACATTGCAGGGCCATCAGGCGGGCATGCGCCACGCCGCATCGCACGCGAACGGCCACGGCCACGGTCACGGTCAGCGCGGCAGCGGCAGCCGTGACGACGGTGGTGGCATGCACACGTTGGCGCGCGGTGGCGTCGATGAACAGGGCCGGTACCACCACCACATCCACTTTTTCTCGCATCGGTCACACCACCACAGTCAACACCAGCAACGGCACAGTGACCATTCCCACGGCCAACAGCAGCAGTCACAGCAACCATCACAAAAACACCACCAACCGCACCAACAATCGCAGCAGCCGCCGCAGAGAAGAGGAAGGGATGCACGCGCGTTTGAGCCGGTGGAGATGCTCGTTCAACACAAGCTGCTGTACGGGTTTGGGCTCACCGCCCCCCAGAGCGGAGCAGCCTCCGCCACAACGCCTGCATCGTCAACAGCAGGAACGGCAGCAACAACAGCAGCGATTGGTGTGGCGTCAGCAGATGTGATGCAGGCTGCGTCCCGCACCTACCAGCGCCAGCGGCAGGTCTCGGAGCAATCGAGCATTGAGCTTGAGGTGAGTGACGACCAGGTGTTGCACGTTGAGGCCACCAGGGCGCTGGCGGCGCTTTGCCGCGGGCCCGCGTTTGATGGGCACGCGTCCATCAACAGCCCGGGCTACCTGAAACAGCTGTGGATGAATGTGCTTGCAAGCAACGTCCCGCTGTATGGGTACATTGCGCAATCTGCGCTGGAGAACATGTTGCGTGGCGCTGCTTCCTCTGTCTCTGCTGGTGGATCTACCCAAGGCGCGCTTGGCATTGCCACGTGGGTGCTACAGCTTTGCTACTCAAGCACGTCTGCGCTGGCGCGAAGTGTGGCCTTCACCGCGCTGGCAAACGCCTGTCTGCACGACACCAGCAGCAGCAGCAGCAGCAGCAGCGGCAACGGCACCAGCACGAGCAACAATAGCAACAAGGGCACTGCTCGAGGAAGCTTCCACAGCAGCTGCAGCGACAGCTATGGCTCTCCTGGTGTGCTGACGCGTGTGCTGGTGCCGGTTGAGGTGCTGTGTGTGTCATTGTACGCGTTGGCGGATGCGCACGAGGCGACACGGCGGCGCGCACAGCAGCTGTTTCGCACAATCACCCGGCGTTTCTTTGTGCCTGTTGATGGCGAGGAGGTTGTGTTGGCCGCACAGTCGCACACGCCCAAGGTGCACATGGAGATGCAGGCGCGCCTGTCCACCCTCCTCGCAGAACAGGACGCGCAGCTCGGGCCCGCTGTTCTGTTTGAGTTTATGAAGTGGTTTGATGTCTGCGTGCCGAGCGCGCGCGCGGTGCTGCTGCGCCTGATGTGCCCCTGGCTGGGCAAGCTGGCCACGGACGTGTTTGTGCGCCGGACCAAGCTGCTGCCGCACGAAGTGGACATCATCCAGCGCGTTGTTCTGCGCAATTTGGTCAGCATGCAGGCGCGCTTCCCTGGCGATGTGCTGGTTGACGAATTTGCACGCGCGTGGGAGGCCGTTGCTCGCGGGAGCCAGCTGCTCCTGCCTGTGCTCGACATGCTGATGCGCGAGGGAGCGGTGCGCCGGGTGCCCCTGTTTCTGGACTGCGCACGTGCCATCGTCGTGCATCTGATGACCACGCAGCCGGACCGCACGGTGCGCGTGCTGGTTCACCAGGCGTGTGAAGCGGAGCCGCTGTTTCCGGAGCGGCTGATGGGTGGTGGCATTTCCTCCTCCAGCACAGGTGTGCCCCGCACATCGCTGCCGCGTGCCAGTTCAAACAGACCAGGCTCCCATCGGTCTCGCACGCGCGCCGTGGCGCCACGCAGCCTCTCCGCGGACGCGCGCGAGCGCAGCCGGGACTCCATGACAGCCGATGGCAGCGCAGACAATCGCGGGCGCACAAGCAACGCCAGCAGCGACCACGGGCGCGTCACGGCGTCATGTGATCAGCAGCTGGCGCCCACAGACCGTGCAGGCTCTGTGGAGGACGTGGAGGGGTTTCCGCCCACGTCTGACGGCGACCTGGAAGGCACGCACAACAAGGGCGGGAAGAGAGCAACTCAAGCTCACGAAGCAGCGGTAGAGGCCAGCACGCCCTCGCGTTCACAGGCGCCCCCGCTTGTTCGGGCTGCTTCCCAGGACGGGGAAATGCCACACAGGCAAGGACCCAAGGCAGGCGATGAGAAGGACGCGCAGGCCATTTCGCAGAGCTCCTCCAGCGAATTATCCGCACAGGGCGTTACAACGGCGGGTCGCAGCAGCGACGGTGAGGCGAGCAACATGCACATGCGAAAGCCGAGGCGGCACAGCAGCCATGATCTTGAATCGCTCGGTTCACAGTTTGATGTGCGCGGCATTGTCGTGTATCAGCTACCACTTGACGATCTGCTGCCCATTACGGACCATGATGCCTTCAACGACGGCTACAACGTGCCGCTGCTCTTTTTGGTGGAGGCGCTGCAGCACTGCCCAGACTACGATTGGCTGGCCCACGCCCCTGCCCTTGTGAACCTGTGCTTCCTCATCATGGACCACCCTGATGCAACAACGCACGAGAATGCAAAGCGGCTGTTGGCGCACCTCATTCGCCTCTACGCACTGCCGCCTGCCACTGGCTTCACCATGCGCAGTAGCGGCGGCAGCGGCCGACTGGGATCCAGCGGTGGCGGTACTGGTGATGGCAGTTCCCCTGTCCAGCGCACTGATGGCTCTCGTGATGTGTTGGTGGGCCCCTCGGACAGCACCAGCGGTGGCAGTCGAGGGAAGAGCAACTTGGCCGGGAACAGTGGCAACTCCGGCGACAGCAACTACAACACGACCAGAGGAAGCAGCAGCAGCACAGGCGACAGCACCAGCAGCAGGAGCAATAACAACAACGGCGCTCGTCGCGCCAACAGTGCCACAACGATGGCGGCCAGTACCAATGCTGACGCTGTGACTCCTGCCGTTTCGACAACCGCACAAACCAACAACACCGCTGCAACGGTTGGCTTGCTTCCGACTCGTACCGTGCGCAACAGCGACACAAAGGAGCAGGTGCTGCGCTTGTTGGCGGTGCCTGGTCCCCTGTGGATGTACGAAGACATCCTGCCGGGCTTCCCGCACATTGCCAGCGAGACGCTGGTGCGCGGCTGGGCGGAGGAAGTGTGCACGCTGCTTGGGACGCGGTACGATGGCCTTCGGGACGAGGAGGACAGCGAGGCGTTTGCGGAGCGGTGGGCGTCAGAGGCCCTGCACTGGGCCACGTCGTGCAGCAACCGGCACAACGCGTCGCGCGCGTTCCAGGTGCTTCGCAGCGTGTGCGTGTCTGTGTCCGAGACGAGCTTGAACGTGATGCTGATGCGACTGGCGGACGTGGTGGAAAGCCCCGGTCTGGAGGCGCAAGGATACGCCGTCGACGTGCTGCTCACCTTCCAGCACATTGTGCGTGCGGTGCAAGAAGGGCGGTTGCCGCGTGGCACCTCGCCCACGGTGCTTCTGCCTCGCATCTTCTGGACGTGCGTGTGTCTGTTTGAGTCGACGCTGCTGCACGAGTTTGAGATGGCGCTGTCCATCGTGCAGGCGGTGCTGGAGGTGGACGCGTTCTCAAAGGTGCAGTGCCAGACGCTGTCGCGTCGCGTGTTTGAGGAGCTCAGCTGGCACAACTTCCCCGGCGTACACGACCTCGCACTCAAAGGTCTGCTGAGCGAGCGTCTCGTGGAGAAGGTGCTGGCGCTGTTGTCACAGCTCACACCGCGGCTGCAGGACCCCATCATGGACCAGCGTGACAGCCTGTGCATCAATGCGGTGGCGCTCGTGCCGCGGATGGTGGCCCACTTTGACGACGCCATGCGTGACGACAGGGTCACGGTGTCTGCGGAACGGCTCTCTGAGGCAACGCGCCCGCTCAACTCGCGGTTGTCCCGCCTGTTTCAGCTGTACGCCTCGCGTGAGTACACGAAGGACGTGGCGGCATGGGTGGCCGACTTTGGGCGGTTCTACAGCAGCGCGTTCTTCCCAGACCACGACGTGCAGGTGTTCAGTTTCCTCATCAGCCTGCTGGAGAGCGGGGCCTCCGCTTACCACGCGCAGCTGGTGGAGGTGCTGGCGGCGCTCCTGCGTTCGCTCAAGACCGACAAGCTGAGCAACGTGCCCCGGTTCATTGTGGACCTCACCTCCGTGATTGTGCGGCTGCAGCGGCAGGGCATGTGGACGGAGGCGCTTGCGCTGACCGATGCGGCGTCGTTCCTGACTGCCAAGCGGCTGCCAGCCTCGGCACTGACAGCAACGCAAAGCGAGCACGGTGACGGCGGCGTGTTGTACGAGCCGTGCCCGTCGCCACTGCCGACCGATGTGGAGGCGGCCGATGCCGGTTCCTCGTCGCGGCAGTGGCCGCCGGTGGGCTCCTTCGGCGCCGTTGCGCTGCACAGCACGTGGCAGGCCACGCGGGATGGCGAGGCGGCGCCGGGGGCGCGCGCACGCCTGAGCGAACTGCTGCGCACGTGCGGGCGCGAGATTCTGCCGTCTGCGCAGAGCATCGTGTTTGCATCGCAGCCCGATGCGCAGAGCACGGGCCCGCCGTCGCCAGACCGGCTGCCCACCACTGCGCCCAGCAGTGGCGACGGCACGCAGCCGCTGGTGGAGGCCGAGGACATTGTGCCGCCCGAGGAGATGCTGGTGGCGGAGTACTTTACGGACTTTGACTTTCTTGATCGGGAGCTTGGGGAGGAGGAGGCGCGAGACACGATGGACGAGGACGAGGATGGGGGCCGGCGCGGGCGCGACCGTGACGGCGGCGATGCGACCGGGACGGAGGAGGCTGACGACGAAGACGAGGACGCGGGCGAGCTGGCACATTTTGGTGCTGCTGGGCGTACCGTTGGCGCGCTCTCTCGCCAGTACGAGCAGCGCCAGCACCAGCACCAGCAGCCCTTCCACCAGCACCAGCACCAGCACCAGCACCAGCACCAGCAGCGTGCGCGGCACAAAGCGCTGCCACGCACGCCGAGCGGGCGACAGGCGTCGTCCAGCAGGCGGAGTTCGCGTCCAGGCAGCGGCCGCCAGCGCAAGGGCGTGGGCGCAGGCAACGCCGCCGGCGGTGCTGGCGAGGACGACAACGCCTTGAGCGTCTTGATGGAGAACCCCGAGGGCACGGGCCTCATTCCGCTGCGCAGCACCAGCTCCTCGCCGCGGCCGCTGCGCAACCAGGGCAGCCGGGCGCTTCTGGCGGAGCAGGATGTTGGCGAGGCGTGGCCGTTCTTCAGCCGCGAGCGACGTGGCTCCATCCCGGGGCGGGCGTCACTCAACTCGTCAACGCGCTCGCTTGATCGCCTGGGTTACTCGGACAGCGGCAGCTTCGGCAACCTGACGCGCAGCGGCACGGGCAAGCCGTTCCAGAGCCACGGGTCTGCGTTTGTGCGCATCCCCGACGATGAGGTGGAGGTGGAGTGGGAGCGGCACGTGTTTGCCGCTGTCGGCGATGACACGGGGCATGTGCTCGTGCACACGTTTGCCGTCTTTGAGCAGCTGTATGAGGCTGCCATCTCACAGCACCGGCGGCTTGTGTCGGAGTGTGTGCAGCTTGTGACGGACCAGCTGCCCCGCACCGACCTCACACCGCTCATGCACACGGTGGAGAGCCTGCTGCATGTGCAGCTGCCGTTTGTATACGTTGACACGGAGGCGCTGGCCAGCGCACACCTGCTCAGCCCGCACAAATCCCTGGTGATCCAGCTGCACGAGCTGTGGGAGACGTTCTCCCTCAAGCGGGAGGACGCCATGGCGTGCCTGCACAAACTCAAGGCGTCACTGCGGCAGAGCGCGCACGCGGACGCGCGGTGGCGCGGGCGACCCCGCTCCTCCGGCGCAGTGCTCTCTGTGGCGGACACGGACGATGAGGCGGATGGCGCAGCGCCACGCGCACAGGCAAAGGCGCTGGTGGTGATGGTGTGTCGGCTGCACACGGTGCTTGGCATGATGCTGGGTGTGTATGTGCAGCTTGTGACCGGGGTGGAGGGCATTGGCCGCTACCCGCTCATGCACAACATCAGCGGGGAAGTCGGGGTGGTGATGAACGAGATCCAGGAAGCGATTGAGCGCCAGCCGAGCGCTATTCGTCGAGTGGACTGCTCAAACCTGTCGAAGCAGCGCGCCATCCAATCCCTTGAGAGCCACCTCGAAGCAAAGCAGACACAGCAGGCGCTGTCGCTTCTTGATGGTGAGCATGCTGCGTATGAGAGTGAGTGGAGTGAAGTGAAGTGAAGTGAGAGAGAGAGTGAGAGAGAGAGTGAGTGAGTGAGTGCAGTGAAGTGAGTGAGTGAGTTGAGTGAGTGCAGACGTTGTTTGAGGTTGCATGGTTTGCCCACTCTCACATGTGTGCAATTGTGTTCTTGTGTTGACAGCTTTCAGGCATCACTGGAAGAACGACCTCTTTGGTGCATCAAGCAGTGATGATTTGACAGTTTTGGTAAGCACAATTGCGTGAGTTTGTGTTTTGTGATTGTGGCCACATGATGTTGTGACAGGTTGCTGTTGGTTGTGTGTGTGTGTGGCAGGATGATAAAGTGTGCGTCTGTTTATGTTCCTACGTGCTTCATACACACACACACACACACACACACACACACAAATGGCAACGACCATGGCAGACCCATGTGTTTGCGGCATATCAGGGGCAGCGACCAGGATCCTTTGCCGTGTGCCCTGACAGCTCCCAGTTACAAGCGGTGCGTCCTGATGGTGGTATTGATGGTGGAGGAGTGTGGGTGAACTGTGGAATGCAGTTGACATTTTGACCATGTATCAAATTAACCAGAGTCGCCTCCCACTAAAATGCTTCTTGGTTTGCGATTCATGTGCACTCGCGCTCTTGCCCGTGGGTGGTGTTTGTACAATGATGTTTGATTGGCCTGTGGTTGTGCTGTCCGCTCTGATTCAATGTTGCTTTGTTTTGGTCGTATTGTTTCTGTTCACAGGCTGTCGAGCGCGCACAGGAGCTTGCGTCTGACAGCATGCGCGCGGTGTATTCCTCGCTCGTGTCGGAAACATCATCTTTGCCAGCGCTCGCACCGTCCAGCGCGCACTAAGCAACGATTGGTTGGTGTTGTTGGTGTTGGAGGGTGGTGGCGGCGATGTTGTGTGTGTGTGTGTGTGTGTGTGTGTGTGTGTGTGTGTGTGTGTGTGTGTGTGTGTGTGTGTGTGTGTGTGTGTGAAAGGTGGAGGGTTTGATGTTCCTTTGTTAGGGATGCGTTGAGACAGGGGTGTTTGGCAATTGTGTTCGTCAGTGCGTAGCTTTTAATCGTAACCAAAGGTGGGATGTGGCGGAGCCATGCGTCTGGTACTCCATAAACAACAGAAACGACAACAAAGAACGCCAGCTGTGTGTGTGTGTGTGTGTGTGTGTGTGTGTGTAGATGTGTGTGCGTGTATCTGAGAGGGGCAAACCAGCTGCCTCTTCCTTCCAAGAAAAAAAGTCAGCTGCAAGCCTGGGTACAACAGACAGAAGCCCTGCACACAGTGCCAAGCAAGACGCGACACACACACACACACACACACACACACACACACACACACACACACACACACACACAGAGCAAACAATGACTAGCTTATTCGTTGGTGGCAGAGCCCTCTGTTGGAATGAGGTCCTCGAGCGTCGTCATGCGCGGGCGCAGTTGTCGGCACTCGGTCCGATGGTGCACCAACAGCTGCTCAAAGTGCAGCTTGAGAAGATTCTGCAAATCACGCACAACTGCACACGACGATGGAGTGTGCACACATCACAGAGCATGAGAACATATGGCATGACATGTGTGCGTGTGTTGTAGTGTTCGGTTGTTATGTTGTGTGTGTGTGTGTGTTTGGGTTTGTTCGTGAGCAAGGTGCGTGTGCATTGTTTGCACGCGTGGCAGAGAAAGGCGCTGAGACGCACGACGCAATGGGAAACGCACTGCTGCTGTGATATCGAGGCGTATGACTTTGCAAGAGCCGCTGCAGCAAGTGGATCATCGCGCCAGATGCGACCACGGCTTCGCCCGTCGGTAAACTGTTGTAAAACGGCAGGATATGAGCAAACGTGGAAGGAGAGGGGCAGGACGTGTGAAACAACTTGTGCAGGCAGTTTCTGTGTGCAATGGGTGGTCTTGTGCTTGTTGTGACATCAATGAAATCTGTGCAACCATCGCCGTAGCCAGGCACACAAACAAGCGCACGCGTACCATTCGAAAAAGCTAAAGTCGACGGCAAATGGGTTTGTCGGAACAGGAACGGCGCACACCTCAATCAACTCCGTGACGATGTCCCACAGCTTGACATCTGCACACACAAGTTTGCGTTGCGGGATGGTGAAGATCAAAACTGTCACGTCTGGCTTGTGATTCCAATAGTAGAGGTGAACCCACAACCAAACGCATAGACACACACTCGCGCGCACACACACGAACACACGAACACACACACACACACACACACACTCTCTCTCTCTCTCTCTCTCAACTTAAAACACCGCCGCACCTTCTGATGCCCAAGTTGTGGTTGTGCGAAGCTTGAGCGGATTGTCCTTTTCCTCGGGTGCGTCCCCCGTTAACTTCACCAACCTCTCGTGGTTCGTCCGTACCTAACACAAGGAAGCACGCGCACGTGAGCCTCAGCGTGAACCCAAGCAAGACTTGGCATACTCATACGCTCGTGTGTGTGTGTGTGTGTGTGTGTGTGTGTGTGTGTGTGTGTGTGTGTGTGTGTGTGTGTGTGTGTGTGTGTGTGTGTGTGTGTGTGTGTGTGTGTGTGTGTGTGTGTGTGTGCGTGCGTTTGTAGGATTGCTTGGCAGGCGTTGTGCATGCAAGTGGCGCCCGACATTCGTAGTTCTCCTTACCCAAACGTAAGGACAGGAGTATTTTGAGTATGCTGCAATCAAAAACACGGTGACCGACTGATCCTGCGCGTCATGCATTAACAGCAACGCCGGGCACCGTGAGAGAATGCCAGTACATGAGTGAATGAGTGGGCGCGCGCGCGCGTGTGAGTGCGTACATGTGTGCGAGGGGACGCGAGTGATGCAGACCAGAACAACACAACTTTAGAAGAAAGTGCAGAAGGGTGCACAAGATCACACACATGCACACAGACAGACAGACAGACAGACGGACGGACGGACAGACAGACAGACAGACAGACAGACAGACACACACACAGACAGACAGACAGGCAGACAGACAGGCAGACAGACAGGCAGACACACACACACACACACACACCTCTTCGAGCCACTCGTTGTCGCTGGGGCTGGCTGGTGGCAGGCCAACGTCCATGTATCCGAATCCGCTCAGGGAGCGCTGCGTGCGCGCAGAGAGCATGAGCGAGCTCCTGTGGTGGAGGGCAAATGGATGGTGGTAGAGAGGTGAGAGTGAGAAGATGAGGGAAGGGCGAAAAGACATGTAAAGCGAGAGTTGTCGATGGCGGCTTGTGAAGGGAAAAAAGGGCAGGAAGGGAAGGAAGGGAAGGAAGGGAAGGAGGGAGGAAAGAAGCGAGGGGAGGGAAGAAAAGAGAAAGGCCACCAGAGGGTGGGACAACAAACGTAAACTGAAAAGCGCGCCAAATGGGTACACCCGGAGTTGCTGCGCTCACAGAACACACGTGCACGAGCATGTTCACGTGAAGACCACATGCATGCGCAGCCACGTGTGCGCGCGTGTGGGAGTGCGGTTACACATGCACGAGCGGCTGCTCACTAAGCCCAACCCATCAAAATTCGGTCGCTCCCTCCTCCAAGCCCGTCTTGGCCACAGCAGGAGTAACGTACTGGTTTCGCGGGAGCATCTTTGGTTCATGGAACGAGCTGGACGGCGATGCCAGCGGCGTGGTCAACTGTGTGATGATCGAGCAGGGAGGTCGTGTCGCGATGAGTAAGAGATGGCCACCACGTCACGTGGTTTAAAAATAGCAGACACCCCGCTCGTGCTTGTGTTCGATGGCGGGGGTGGTTTGGTGTGTTGCGGTGCGCGTGTGTGTTTGAAGTTATGCTGTGTGTGTTTGATGTTGTGTTGTGCTGTGTTGTGGTGTGGTGTGGTGTTTGGGGCGATGACATGGCTTTGGTCATCTGCTGCTCGTGCGCTGCACGGCATGTGCACACACGTGTCGTTGACGTCATTGAGTTCCCTCGCCTCCCAAAATGGAAAGTGGTCCGGCATTGGTCGTGACACGCATCGCAGCGTCATGTCACAGAAGTGCGCGAGCGCACACCGAATTTGGATTGTGTGTATATTTGTGGGCTGGGTCTCATGCAACGTGAAGTGTGGCGTTTGATGTTGCGGTGGGGAACATGTGTGGACTCAAGGATGTGCTCATTGTGGGTGCTGGCTCGCAACAACTCACATTTACGTTGTTGACCACGCTGACCAGTAGTTCCTCACGCCCTCGAAGGTAAAACTGGAAATGCAGAAAGCCCTAATGCGATCCAGTTGTGTGTTGTGTTGTGTGTTGTGTGTTGTGTTTGTGTTCGTGTGTGTGTTTGAGTTTGTTTGTGCGTGTGTTTGTGCTGTGTGCGAGTTGTGGTGTTGTGTCTTGATGGCATAGCTGACAAACAGAAGAGGCAGCATGCATGCGAGCCAGTGTGATTGTAGTGGGACCAAGTTCAAACGAGCGCACACAAACTAACTCACACACACTCACTCACTCACTCACTGACTTGCTCACACACACACACACACACACACACACACACACACACACACACACACACACACACACAAACTCACTCGTACACTGCCAACGCGCAGGAAATCTGCCAGCAGGAACTGAAGCTTTCGCTCCCGATCTGCACTCCCATCTCCACCCTACATCAACATACCAACAACAGCACCAGCACCACCAACACCAACAAACACTGGTTGAATCTCACGCAGCAAACACGACCAGGAGGAGCACAAGCAGCGACACAGCGCACAAGCGCACTCCTCCTTCCTTCCTTCCATCGCCACCGACACAGCACAGCCGTCCATCATGCCTGGCGTGGTAAGCACAGCAACAAACAAACACCAACCACACCCAAGCTCCACAAACACCATCACAACAACGGACACGGCAAGCACGAGCGAGCGAGCACCTGCTGCTGGTGCTGCATCGTGGCTGTCCTTGTTGTTTGTGTTGTTGTTGCCGCACAACCGCAAGCAATGCAAGGGGTTGGGAATAGTTGTTGGAGATGTGGCGAATAATCTGGGTGAAACCGTTTTCGATTTTTTATTTTTGGTGGGGTGCGCGAAAGCAAAGAAGAAGGAGAAGAGTAAGAGGTGCGAGTTGGACCGCTTGCTGAGTGTGCACAAGCAACGAGCAACGAGAAGGGTGCTGCTGCTTGTTGTGATGTGAATGTGTGTCGTGTATGGCATGACTGGCGTGTGTGCTTGTGTGTATGCGGCTGCCATTGCTCTCGCTCGCTCGCTTCGTCGCTTGCTTGCTGTCCTTCGCTTTGTTTCCAGCACACGCTTGAATGCATTGTTGGTTGAGCCGTGTTCTATTTCTCACCCGATGACTTTGACCACCACCACCACCACCACCACGCCGGCTACGACCAACTTTGTCAACATCAACAAACACTCGCCTCAACAAACACAATCGCATCGGTCCGCCTCATCACCACCACCACCACCACCACATCCACCATGGAGGGTGTGCAGCACAACGACCTTGTTATCACAGATTCTACGGCGACTGTTGACGCCTCTCCACCAGAAGTTGGATCACATTTGAGCAAGTGGGAGGACAGTCGCAACAGCGACAGGTACGTCAGTTGCACGTATCGTGTGCTTGTTGGCAACCAGGTGGTGTCAAAGGGGGAAAGCTGCCGCACTCAGTTGCCTGCACTCAGTTGCCTGCACTCAGTTGCTTGAGGGTTCATGCATGTTGACGGAGTCTGTGTGCTGCTGCTTTACAAGCTTGCTTGTAAGGCTCAATATGTGCCACATGCATTGCCCTGTTCCAACCTCATCGCCCCCTCTTCTCCACCGACTCTCCACACACACACACACACACGCACACACACACACACGCGCGCGCGCGCATTGTAGCTGCCTTAGTGAGGCCTCAACTGCATCTCGCCGAACATCCGCAGCGAGCACCGAGGCAATCACCAACATGCCGCGCAAAGGCCGCCAATTCCTCGAGGATGGTCAGTACCGCTCCACCCACCCTGTGTGCGTGCTTGTGCACCACACGCATGTGCACTGTTCGACTTTGAACAAATGCACATACATGGATGCCCGCATGCGCGCACACACACAGACACACACACACGCACGCACGCACGCACACACACACACACACACACACACACACACACACACACACACACACACACACACACACACACGCAACTGTGCCTGGCTCATGTGCGCTCTGTCACTGCTGTGGTTGTGCAGCTGGTCCTCGAGGAGAAATGACTGGCAACGCAGGCAAGTCCGGGGCTGAGCTTGACGCGGCCCGCAAACGCAACACCGCCTATGAGTACCTCTGCCATCTTGAGGAAGCAAGAAAGTGAGTCGCTGTTTTGTACGACTGTGGCGCGTGAGGTGACAGCGACGCTGGATGTTTGCCACTGCACCCCGTCGCTCCACGATCACACACACACGCATACATACATACACATACACATACACACATACACACGCCTGCCTGCGGCCTCTCACGTCACGTGTGCGCACGTTTGCTTGTTTGCGTGCTTGTGTGCTTGCGTGCTTGTGTGCTTGCGTGCTTGTGTGATTGCGTGATTGTGTGATTGCGTGCTTGTGACTCTCGTGAACGTGCAACCCAAGGTGGCTGGAGGCGTGCCTGGAAGCAGAGCTCCCGCCTGCGAGCGAGCTGGAAGGCGCGCTGCGCAACGGCGTCATTGTGGCCAAACTTGCCCTCTTCTTCGCCCCAGATGTCGTCAACCCAAAGAAGATCTACGATCCAGAAGAGAAAATCTACAAGGTCCGCCTCTTGTGTGTGTGTGTGTGTGTGTGTGTGTGTGTGTGTGTGTGTGTGTGTGTGTGTGTGTGTGTGCAGCTGTGCATATGTTGATGTGTGCGCCTGTATCTGTGTGTCGCTCACAAGCGCTGTGCCATTGGTGACTGCATATGTATGCGACTGCGTGTGTGTGTGCATTTATGAGTAGGAGAAGGGCCTTGTTTTCCGCCACACGGACAACATCAACCACTGGCTTCGCGCCATGGAGAAGAAGAAGTTCCCAGAGGTGCGAGCAATGCGCACGTGGCAATGCATGTGTGTGTGTGTGTGTGCGTGTGTGCGTGTGGCAATGTGGCGTGTGCGAAGCTATAAGTGGTGGGATTGAGGGGCTGAGAGTGAATGTCAAATCTCAACACAATGTGGCGCAGTGGCAGTTGTAAGCTAGCTCACCTCTCGTGTGTGTGTGTGCTTGGTCTTTGTGCATCCGTGTCCCTGTCTGCTTGCGTCGACTGGTTCCACCAGATCTTCTATCCCGAGATCACCGACCTGTACGACAAGAAGAACATGCCACGCGTCATCTACTGCATCCACGCCCTCAGCCGCTACCTGTTTGGCCTCGGCATCGCCCCAGAGATGGAGGACCTGCACGGCGTCGCAGAGTTTACGGAGGAAGAGCTCTCTGCCATGGAACAGGTCCGCACCCGTGATCCTGGTCATGATGGCGTTGGTGGTCGTGGTGGCGATCGTCTTGGTTGTGATCACGACGATGGTTTGTGTTGTCCTTTGGTGTCTGTCGGTTGATGCTGCCAAGTTCATGTATGCTGCAATGCCGAGTGCCCTGCCTGCTCATGTCGTCATCTCCACTCCCACCTCGCCCGTGCGCGTGTGTTCATCTTGTGCAGGAGCTGCAAAAAGCCGGCGTGCAGATGCCCAAGTTTGGCAAGATTGGTGGCATCTTGGCAAAGGAACTTGGCGAGGACGACGCAGCGAGTACGTGCCCTATGTGTGTGTATGTGTGTGTGTGTGTGTGCGTGCGTGCGTGTGTGTGCGTGTGTGTGCGTGTGTGTGTGCAACATAGGAAGAGGATAACAGCAATCCGTGTGTGAGTCTGCTTATGCCTTTTTTCTTCGTGCTTCTCACATGTCAACCACATGGCGTTGCATTCACCTGTGTGTGTCTGTTTGTGCGAGTGCAGTGCACGCAGCCATCTTGAAGATCAACCAGGCGCTCGAAACGGAAGCGCCGAGCGACGAGCTGTACCCGCTGCTGTCTGCCTCTGCTGCAAAGCTGAAGAAGATTGACAAGGAGAACATGGACGGCTACCGCGACACGCTCATTGCGGCCAAGATGGAGAAGACGGCCAACGCGCCCGAGGCGTCACACGTCGGGCTCAACGACTCGCAGCAGGCCGGTGACGCCGAGCAGGTGGACGTGTACGACACCAACCTCACGCGCGATGAGATCCAGAAGATCATCAACGTCATCAACACAACCGTCGCTGCAGAGAAGAAGCGCGCCGCAAGTGCGTTTATTATTGCCACTGTGCCGTTGTCGTGCGTGTATGTGTATGCGCGGGTGCGTGTGTTTGCCTTTATGCGTGTGTGAGTGGCAGTGCCGCGTAGCTTGTTTAGGCGTGTCTGTTACAATGCGAATGAAGGTACCTTGGCTTTGCTCACACACTCACCTTTGTTGCGTTGGGCGCTTGCTTGCAAAACGCGAACACCCCCCCCCCCTCATTAGTTGAGCAAGCGATCCAGGACCTGAGCGAGGCGATTGACGAGAAGAACGAGGAGAAGATGATGACGGCACTGCAGACGCCGGCCATGGAGCTCAAGGACGTCGATCCAGCCTTTGCACCGCACTACATGGTGTCGCTGACCGCCCTGCAGAACAGCCTGCCCGATGACGAGTACTTTACGGTTGAGCAGGTGCAGGAGGCTGTCAACGATGGCAACGACGCCGCTGCCAAGCGCAAGCGAGGTGCGATGCATGTTGGGACGGGCGTTGGGAGATGGGCGTTGGTACGAGTTGTGTGTTTGCGTGCACGTGTGTGTGTGTGTGCGTGGATGTGTGTGTGTGTGTGTGTGCGTGGATGTGTGTTTGTGTGTGTGCGTGCGTGTGTGTGCTTGCGTACGCGAGTGTACGGCAGCTGATCAGTGTGAAGGGGTATTTCCCTGGCTCACCAACCTCGACCATGACACGGCCTGGTTGTGTTGCTCCTTTGGCCGCCAGTGTCTGAGATTGTGCAGGCGATCAACGAGGCCGTCACTGCCGGAAGCGTCGACGAACTTCGCGAGCTCTTCAACGAATGCTCCGAACTCCTTGGTCAGTGGCGATGGTACACATCATGCCTCACGCATACGCTCTCATACACGTGGGAGGTTCTGATTGTGCGCAGCATTGTTGATGATGCGATGTGACAGCCTGCTACTGCCTCAACACACCATGTGATGCATTGCCATTATACGCAATCACCGCGCGAAGCACGGCATTCACTTCAAGCATTCATTCATTCATGTGTTCATTCATGGCCCCTTATCTCTTCTCTGCGAGCAGATCTTCCGCCAACAGACAGTGCTGTGACAGAGCGCTACCTCGAAGCGCTCAAGACAGCGACCGCCGAACACGGCCCGGTGCGAACAATGCAACCTGTGGCTTTGGATGGCATGTCTGTGTACTGGTCATAGCTTGTGGAAGGTGGGCTGCGTTGCTTATGTGTGTGTGTGTGCGATGTTTGAGGGCACATCCTTTCTCACTGTGGTTGCTTGTGTTGCTTGATACTGTTTGTGGTATTCAGCTGTCGCTGGAGCAGATCAGGGCGGTGCTGCAGGACGTCAACAAGACACTTCAGCACGAAGCGGCTGGTAAGCACCCTGCTGTCGACACTAACGGCACCAAACTTAAAGGCGTCCTGTTCTCTGTGACCAAGATCATGACACGGAAACCACACAACAAACAAACAAACAAACAAACAAACAAGCAAACAACAACAACAACAACAACAACAACAACAACAACAACAACAACAACAACAACAACAACAACAACAACAACAACAACAACAACCCCCGGCTGATTTCTTGTCGTGCTTCCTCATCTTCCACCACCTGCGCGTGTCTGCTCTCCATGTCTCAGTGCAAGCGGCACTGCAGGAGCTGGACAAGCGCATCGACGAAGGCGAAGCAGAGCAAACACTTGGTTCGTTACTCTTCTGGCATGCATTTGCACACCAACTGCGGCTACAGCACTGCTGTTGCGTGTTGGCATGCGACACAATGTGCAACATGATCGTCCCACTGACATGCACGCGCATACGTTCACACGTGTATGTTCATGTGTATGCCTTCAACAGAGGCCCTGCAGGCGCCTGTGCTGGCGATTGAGGATGTTGACGAGGCTGGTGCACTGCACTATCAGGCCTCACTCGTCCGAGCAAAGGAAGAAGTCAGCGGCGAAATGGTCAGTTTGTGTGTCTGCGTTTGTGTGTGGTTGTGCGTTTTACTTGTGAATGAAACCATGTGCTCTGTCCGTGGCACAGCGCAAGTTTGCCTTCCTTCCGCTCACCTACTCCTCCTTGCACTTCAAACATCACAATGGGGCAATGACAGCTCGGCCGTGATGATGTGCAGAAGGTGATCAAGGACGCCAACTTTGAAGCGGAAGAGAATGCAAAACGTACGTCCTGACTCCTCTTGTTTGTGCATCATCGTGTGTACCATATGGTGTCCAGTCGTTTCTTGCCAGTGGTCATTATCTGTCGCATTGCGTCCCGGCTTATGTTTACCCGGCTTGATATTTGCACGTGTGCACAGATGCGGCTGCGCTGTTTGCGCTGAATGACGCGATCCGCAAAGGCGACGCCGACAAGACACTGGCACAGCTCAAGGTGCGTGTAATTCGTGGCTGCATCTGTGTGTATGTGCGTGTAAGCGTTGTGCACTCTGAATCACAGCATCTCTCGCACGCATACGCGCACACACGCTTACACATACAAATACATGCACACGCACACATACGAATGCATGCACATGCACACGCTGCAGGAGCCGTATACGCGAGTGGACAATGTGCAGGACCGCTGCGGGGAGCGGTACCAGAAGTCGCTGGCCCCGGTGCTTGCAAGCAAGGAGTCAGACAACGCGGTTGCGGCGAAAAAGTGGAAGAAGTATGCCACCGACGACGGACGCGACTACTACTTCAACAAGGAGACGAAGGAGACGCAGTGGCTGCCGCCGGAGGAGGTGATTGCTAACAACCTGAGCGTCGAGGAGGTGCAGGAGGTCGTTGACAAGTGCAACGCAGACCAGGCGCGGTGGGACTCGTTTGTGGAGGCGGAGCCGGCGATTGTGACGCTGCAGGCACACATCCGCGGTATGCTGCGCCGCAAGGAGCATCTGGAGCGCATGAAGTATCTTCGCGAGCACGAGGGCGACGCCGTGAAACTTCAGGCGGCGTTCAGGGGCTACAAGCAGCGCAAGCAGTACAAGGACCGCCTGGACTACCTCAACTCCCAGGAGGACGCCGCAATCAAGATCCAGGTGTGTGTGTGTGTTTACGCGTGCCTGCATGTGTGTGTGTTCACGCGTGCCTGCATGTGTGTGTGTGTGTTCACGCGTGCCTGCATGTGTGTGCATGTGTGTGTGTGTGTTTACGGGTGCCGGCATGTTGCGTACCTGCGCTCATGTGCACGCCCCATCACCTTCGTCTTTTTTGCGTGTGCGCTCACACCTCTTGCGGTCCTCGTATTTCCACGCAGGCTGCATACAAGGGCCTGAAGGCACGCCAGCAATACAAGACACTCACGAAGGTTCGCTGCCGACCGCTCGTGTGACATTGCATGGCGACGTATGTTTGCGAATTAGTCACGCGTGCGTGGCCACTGGATATTTCACGCCCTTGCCTGTTTCCCTATGCTCACAATCACAACGCGTGTGTATTTATGTGTGGATGTGTGTGTGTTTGTGTGTTCGTGTCGTGGTGCAGGTGGACAACCCGCCTGTTGCGACAGTTCGCCGGTTCCTGCATCTTCTTGACCAGAGCGATCTCGACTTTGCAGAGGAGCTTGAGCGTCAACAGCTCAAGCAGAAGGTCGGTTTGCCCTCTGCTCGTTCCCAGATGCGCCACGTGCACACGTGGATGCACGTGAGCTGATCACATGTACAAACACACACACACACACACGTCTCACACACGCCTCATACACGTGTCTCGCACACGCCTCATACACGTGTCTCACACACAACGGGCCAGGTGGTGCTGGCGATCCGCTCCAACCACGAGCTGGACGATGCGCTGAACCAGATGGACATCAAGATTGGCCTCCTGGTGAAGAACCGCATTGAGCTCGATGATGTCGTGAAGCAGAACAGGGAGCTGAAGAAGGCGCGCAAGCGCGGCAGCCAGCAGAAGCTCGTGCTCCCGCACCAACAGGGCGGCCTGAAGAGCCTTACCAAGCAGTCACGGCAGAAGCTTGAGTCGTACCAGCACCTCTTCTACCTGGTGCAGACCAAGCCCGAAATTCTCGCCCGACTTGTTTTCCTCGATCAGCCCATGCCCGGGTGGTCGAACAACAAGACGAGCCGCTTCCTGGAGGACGCCATCCAGCTCATCTACAACTATGCCAGCAACGCGCGCGAGCAGTATCTGCTGCTGAAGCTCTACCGCACTGCGCTCAAGACGGAGATCCAGGAGAAGGTGAACACGGTCAAGGAAATCATCACAGGCAATCCCACAGCCATCAAGCTCGTCATCAACCAGTACCGCTCCTCTTCACAGGGTATGCCGCTTTGTGTTGTCATGTGTGTGTGTGTGTGTGATGCGTGTGATGTGTGTGTGTGTGTGTGTGATGCGTGTGATGTGTGTGTGTGATGCGTGTGATGTGTGTGCATGACATGCATTCTTGTCTGTATGTCCATCGCTGTGCGTGCACGTGGGTCTGGTGCACTTCTGCTACTCTCCTCACCCCAACATGTCATCATTTTTTCCTGTACATACGCTCCATGCCTTGTGTGTGTGTGTGTGTGTGACACAGGCGTGAAGTACCTGTCCTCGACGCTGCGGCCGCTGGTGCAACAGTGCCTTGCAGACGAGTCGCTTGACCTCAACACGGACCCCAAAGTTGCGTACAAGAAGTGGATCAACCAACAGGAGCGTGAGACTGGCGTTGCGTCGACGCTTCCACGCGACGTGACGCGGGAGGAGGCGCTCAAGCACGAGCCCGTGCGCACGGCAGTGGACAAGGCTGTCAGCAAGCTCGTTGAGATTGGCGAGGCGTTCCTCGACTCCATCCTCGCAAACGTGTCGCTGCTGCCGTTTGGTCTGCGCAGCATCTGTGGCGCCTTGCGGGAGGACTTGCGGGCCAGGTTCCCTGATGCTCCCGAGGTGGAGATCACAAAAGTGCTGGGCAACGTGCTGTATTACCGCTACATCAACCCGGCCATCATCGCGCCAGAGGCGTTTGGCGTCATTGAGACGTCCGGCCACACGGAGCTGACGCCGCTGAAGCGTGGCAACCTCGGTTCCATTGCCAAGCTGCTGCAGTCTGCTGCCTCTGGGCTGCGCTTTGAGCTCTCTGAGGGCGAGAAGACAAGCCCGCTCAACAAGTTCCTCTACGAGGGATGGAAGAAGTTCAAGTACGTCTTTTCCCCTTCTGTTTGCGTTGCTCCCTTTGCGCGCATGTCTGCTCGGCTCTGTGTTTGTGTGTATGTGTGTGTTTTTTTTTTTTTTTCGTGCGTGTGTGATGTGCGTTTGTGTGTGTGTGTGTGTGTGTGTACATGTCTGTTGCTGCTTTGCGCAACACAGAAATCCTTTCTGACCCCTTACCTGACTCACCCACTCCCTTTGTGACATGCACTTGCTCCACACCCTTGTTCCATCTTCTCTTTGCCGCGCAGGACGTATTTCCACGACGCGGCAACGGTGATGTCGGCGGAGCAGCATTTTGGCATTGACGAGTACTCTGATGCAGTCATGCTCACCAAGCCGCAAATCAACATCTCCCCCGTGGACATCTACTACATGCACAAGATGCTGAGCGTCAACGCGGACCAGCTTGTTGACGAAGGCGACACGCAGCTTCACGAGATTCTGGAAGACCTTGGTCCCATTGGCGAGCCCGAGGACGAGATTGGGCCCGAAGGTGCAGCGCGCTGCCCATGTGTAATGCGGTGATGTGTGTGTGTGTGTGTGTGTGTGTGTGTGTGTGTGTGTGTGTGTGTGTGTGTGTGTGTGTGTGTCTGCCTGTCTGTCTGGCTTGGCTGTCCGTCTGTCTTGTCTGCCTGTTGCCATACCCCCTCCCCCGCCGAACGGACTCAGCTTTTCGCTCACACGCTATCGTCCTTTCTTGTTTTTGCAACGCTCTCGCCACCCTCCTCCCCACCTCTGAATGCTGTGTTTGCGTTGGCCGTCCACAGACAGCCCCGAGCGCAGCGCCAACAAGGTGCCCATGTGGATGCTTCTCGCCAACAAGTTTGAGGTGCCGGAGGATGACACGTCCGACATCAAGGCGCTCTTTGTCAGGTGTGTATGTGTGTATGTTTAGGTGTCACGTGTGCTCGCCTCAGCTTAATTCCTTTGTTTGGGTGTCCTTGCTTTCGTTCCTCCCACTTGACTTGGGGCTTACTTTGTGCTCCTGTTCATGTGCATACGTAATGTGCGATGTGCGATGTGCGATGTGCGATGTGTGTGTGTGTGTGTATGCAGGACGAAGCGCATGGTTGTGGACGTGATCCGGTTTCAGCAGGGCAAGACGCTCAAGGACATTCTTGAGACACCCGCCACCAGCGAGATGGAGGAGGAGCACTTGGCATTCACAAAGAAACGCCGCGCTGAACTCGACCAGGTGTGTGTGTGTGTGTGTGTGTGTGTGTGTGTGTGTGTGTGTGTGTGAGCGTGCGTATGTGTGAGCGTGCGTATGTGTGTGTGTGTGCGTGAAGGAGAGCGAGTCTTGTGTATTGCGTGTTGTGTGTCTGTGTGCCGGCCAGAGATTGTGGCTTGTTGGTTGTTCGCTTGTGTGCAAGTAGAAGCTGCATGTGCCCTCACACATCAACTGTATGGTCTGTATGTGACAGCTTGCACAATCTGATCCAGACCTGAAAGACGTCATTGCAGAACAGCGATCCGATTTGTGAGTGTTCCTGTCATGCCAGCAGCTTGAGGTGTTGTGGGCAAGCGAGGCTCCCTTGACCCTTTGTCCCACTCACGCACTCGCTGTTTGACATGCAATCACACACTCAACTCACACTTACTCACTTACACATACATACATACATACATACATACATACATACATACATACATACATACATATATACATACATACATACATACATACATACATACATACATACATACATACATACATACATACATACATACATACATACATACATACATACATACATACACGCGTATGCGCTGCGCAGCTCGACTCTGGAGCAGACGAAGGAGAAGATTTTGTCGAATGCGGAGGTGTTGGAGAAAGAAGGCCTGTGCTCGAAGGAGCAGGGCTACCAGAACTTGCTCAACGCCGTTGCCCAGGACATTCGCAACCAGCGCATCTACCGCCAGCACCGCAAGCAGGACCTGGCCAAGCTCAAGCACACGCTGGAGGAGCTTGAGGTGAAGAAGCGCCAGCAGTCTGAGGCCATGGACTACTACGACCAATACGTTAAGGAGTGCATGAAGCAGATGGGCAAAGCCACAGCCACAAAGTGCGTCGCCACCCATGCTTGCGATGCGTTGTCGTGCATGTTGAGTGCAACTCCCAGTGTGTGCATCATCAATACCCGTCTGTGCTGATGACTTGTGCAGAGTTACATGAGTTTTGACTGCATCTATCCCCGCTCACCCTGCGTGACGCCATCTGTGCGATGTTGGCCCGTTGCCGTGACAGGAAACGCTTCTGGTTCCGCCCGAACCGCCGCAAGGAGACGGAGAGCGGGCAGTGGATTGGCACATACAGCACAAACGCCCACAAACTCAAGGAGCGCGGCGTCCTCGTCTCTGTCACCGGCGTCTCAGACTTCCAGTGCGTTTGGAGCATTGCTCCTTCTTTGTTTGTTTGTTTGTTTGTTTGTTTGTTTGTTTGTTTGTTTGTTTGTTTGTTTGTTTGTTTGTTTGTTTGTTTGTTTGTTTGTTTGTTTGTCCGTTTGTTTGTCCGTTTGTTTGTCCGTTTGTTTGTCCGTTTGTTTGTCTGTTTGTTTCGTCTGTCTGTCTGGATACTCCCTGTGCTGTAATCCCTGTGCTGGCGCACTTGAGCTGCAAGCGTCACGCTTATACTTGCTCACCCGTTTCGCTGCCTTCCTTCCCCCCCCCCTCTTCCCACTGTGCAGGCTTCGTGGGCTTCACATTGACGTGTCGTCGGATGAGGTTGGCATCTTCAACATCACCATCAAGGGCGCAGGCATGGCGCTCGCCAAGGAGCAGCTGGTGTTCCAGGATCTGCTGCAGAAGCAGTATGAGAACGTGGACACGATGAAGATCTTTGACGACCGCTGTACCGTCAACGTCAACCTGCTCATCTTCCTCATCAACAAGAAGTTCTACCACAAGTAGACGCGCCACGCGCTGGGTCTGCTTGCAACGTCAAGGATCTTGTGTTCACACACACACACACAGACACACACACACACACCTCTGTTTCAAACACACACAACCAGCCAATTCATGTCCTGCGAATGGGGGTTCTGTTTTCTCCTTTGTTCTCTTTGCCTTCGCTTTCCACTTGTGTTGTTGGTTCCTTCACTGCAACACGCGGCAGGCGTTGTGTTGTCGCCAACAAAGCAATCACACAAAACACACAACAGATTGTTCACGTTTTTGGCTTCATTTGGTTCTTCATTCATTCCTGTAGATGCCCCCCCCCCCAAACTTCTACTTTGTTGCTGCACATCATAAAGATGCAAGAAAAAGGAACTGGACTCGATCTCAACACCAAGGAAACAAAGCGACAAGCGACAAAAGGCAGCAACAAGCTTGCTCGCGCTCTACACACACACACACACACACACACACACACACACACACACACACACACACACACACACACACACACACACACACACACACACACACCCATCGAGGTCATGCCTCGCGCAACATTACTGTGCCGTGTCCTTGCTGTCTTGCTGTGCTGCCTTCTCCTCGCCTGTGCCAGCACCTTGGTCCCCGCCCTCGTCCATGCCATGGCCAGTTGCGGTGTGCGCATCACCATCATCGCCACCGTGGCCGTTCTCTTCGCCAATGTCTTCGTCGTCATCGTGGTCCTCTGTGCCGTCGCCTCGCAGCCGTGCAGGCAACAACACCTAGAAGCCATCATTCGGCATGGAAGCCATGCGCACCGTGAGAAGAAACAGGATAATCGCATTGGGGAGAATAGCACATGACCACAAGCAGGGTATATGCAAGCATGCAAGCGTGCAAGCGTGCAAGCGTGCAAGCGTGCAAGCGTACCTTCCAGTAGTCGTCTTTCCGGAACGATACGAGCTGGTCAATGTCTTTGCTCGTCTCCTCAAGCAGTTCCCGCGTCTTCTCAGTGTGCTTCCCCTGACACCGCAGACATGCGTGGGCGACGAGGTCACAGCTTGTTGTAAGATGGCTCTCGCGCATACGCAATGTGTGTGTGTGTGTGTGTGTGTGTGTGTGTGTGTGTGTGTGTGTGTGTGTGTGTGTGTGTGTGTGTGTGTGTGTACGAACCGGGAGGAAGAAGATTGGGGGCGATGCCTTTGTCTTGATGGCCACCTTAAGGGAGTCGTAGTGTGCCTGCCACTCATCCGTCTGTGGTGGAAGCGCAACGCGCATGCGTGTACTTGTGCAATGAGTCTGGGCACGTAGTTGCTACCATCACAATGACATCATGAACAGCCCGCCCACGCACACAAACACACACAACACACACATACACACCAAGCGCGGAAGCACGGCGTTCTGTTCGAGGGTGAGGAGCTCGGCCTGCTTCGCACGGCGCTCTGTGTACAGTTGGATGCGCTCCTGCTTCGACTCCTCCCGCTCCTGCGATGCACACGAACACACACACACACACATGTACACAGACACGAACAACGAAGATGTGGGTGTATGAGATGGGCGGAACTAGAGAAATGCGATTAAACCGTTAAGCGCGCAGCACTTTCACACCCGCAAGGGCGAGCATCCACAAGCAAAGACGGTATCACACACACACACACACACACACACACACACACACACACACACACACACACACACACACACACACACACACACACACACACACACACACACAAACGCACCTTCTCTGTCTGTTCTCGCAGTCTCTGGTCAATCTCGTCAAACTTCTTTTGCTGTTGGGTTGTGGAGCGAAGCAGGTGTTGGCGTTGTGAAGTCACATCACAACACCAGGTGTGGTGGTTGATGGACGAGAGCGGTGCCAGCTGGACACAAGGCGCACAAAGGGTCCACTAGACGCGCGCCCAAGTGCAGAGCACACTAATTTGACACATCCACACACGTCATCCTCACCGTTGTTGACTTTTCGGTGCGCTTGTTGGCTTGCTCTAGCGTTCCCATGAGCATTCCAAACATGCGGCGGTTGCTGCGATAAACCGAAATTGGCAACAGAAGCGTGTGATCAGCATCGCATGCTGCATATGTGTGTGTGTGTGTGTGTGTTCCTTTGTGTGGCCATGAATTCGCAAAGAGTGCATTTCATAGTGTGTGTGTGTGTGTATGTCAGCGTACCGTGCAGCGCTTTTGCCGTCACCCCCGGACAAAGAAGGCCTGCGAGGTGCCTCTGGCTTTGACGGAGACCTGAACGCAACGTGAACCAAGCAAGCGTGACAACATGAGAGAAAGACAGAGGGAGAGAGAGTGTGTGTGAGAGTGTGTGTGAGTGACAACAGCATGGTGTCATCCAGTGAAACTGCAACTGCGACTTTCAAACCTTGCACGGAAACACGCACGCACACACACACGCACACACACACACACACACACACACACACACACACACACACACCACCACCACCACCACCACCACCACATACACACACACATGTACACACATGTAGACGATACCGCTCAGGGATTACAGAGGAGGATCCGTTGCGAGAACGTTTCCTGTCACATCACAAAGTGGCAGGGTGCCAGCATGAGCCAAGAAAGCCAGCACAACAAAGCATACACTGCTGGGCCATGAAGTACACTGCAAGCCTCGACCATCAGAAGCTGTATTTGAACAAAGACATACGTTGCGATGGTACTGCGCAGCCTCCCAGACATGAACTGTTCGTCATCAGCGTCATCATCCTCCCTCATGTGGCGGTCTGATGGCCCTCGCTTGGGACTGTCATAGAGCAACACAGGTGTCAACAAAAAGCCACAACGTGTGCAAGACATACTGTTGTCGACAGACAAGGTCACCCATGTGCACATACATGCAGGTGCATGGGGTCAACGCGAATCATCATCTCACCGGTCATGTTGCCTCCTTTGTTGCGGCTTGTTGCGGAGCCGCCTGGTTGATGGCACAAAGTTGATGTGAGGGCGAGAGCACGAAAGGAGCAGGTGCGAACAGAGAAACACAGGCAGGAAGATGTACGCACATACGCACACAAGGTCAAGCACACACAAAGCAAAAGGTAACCACACACACACACACACACGCACACACACACACACACCTCTCGTTTGGGTTCGCGCCTGTGACTTGAGTGATCTTGCTCTCAATGTCCTCCAGCTCACGACGCTTGCGCTCAATCGCATCGTCCATGATTGTGTGTGTGTGCGTGTGTGGCAGCGAGTAGTGGCAGATGCAGCGCGTTCGCAGTGTGCTGTTTGCGTTGGTTGTGGAAAATTGTTGTATATCTTTTACAACGATCTACACGAGAGGCAAGAGGAGGGCAGGGGAGCAGGAGGAGAGCAGGAGAGCAGGAACAAGCAAGCAAGACAGGCAAGCAGGGACATGTGGTTCGTCACGTCAAACGAATGATACGCACGCCAGCCACGCTGGAGGCAAGCAAAAGAGCACAGGCAGCAGGTGAACAAGAGCAGCAAAGAAAAGCAGGAAACAAGAAAGACAGCCTACGCGAACAGCAAAGCAACAAGCACGTCAAAATGAGAAGCAAGTCAAGTATGCTGGGAGGTGCATGTAACACTTGGCTTCTTCAAAAGTTGTCATTAAGGACAAGGACGTCCACACCAAACCAAGCATCGCAGTGGACAAAACACGCACACATACACACGCACACATACACACACATGCACGATGAGCAACAGGGTCAGGCTGCGACTTGTGGAGCATGTGCTACAGAAGCAGGCTTGGAGGAAGAGGGCGAGGCAGAGGAGGACGAAGAGGAAGACGAGCCGGATGCAGACTGCGCTTCGCCGCCATCACGGATGCCAGCGCGTTGCGCGTGGATGGCCTCCATGACTTGTTCCGCAGTCGGCACCAGTGGCGGTGGCGCGATGCTGCTGGCTTCCCGCTCGTCGTCCTCTGCACCAGCATCAGCCGCTGCCTGCTCAACAGGGCCTGTCCTGCTTGCCGCAGCTGCTACTGTTTCGACGGCCAGGCGTTCATCATCACCGCCATTGTCGTCTTCTTCGTAGGTCTCGTCGCTGTCAGAACTGTCATTGCTGGGCCGGTCAGGTTGTGGTGCGTTTTGGTCGGCTGCGTCCGACTGCTCCGTCTTGATCGCGTCCTCCTCCTCGCCACGACCTTGCACTGCAACATCACCATCACGGCCATCATCATCATCATCATCATCATCATCATCGTCGTCGTCATCATCATCATCATCATCGTCATCATCGTCGTCGTCGTCTGTGTGCTTGCTCTGTTGTGGCTGGGCGCCACTTGCACCGGACAACAGCTTTGCTCGCTTCGCGGGCGTGCTGCCATCGCCGCCGTTGGCATTGGCCGCGTGAACAGCGACGGGGGCTGACGGCGGCGGCGCTGTGCTCGAGGGCGCATGAAGCGGTGGCCCGACAGCAGTGCCCATCTGCATTGCAGGGTACACCGGCGACATGGGGAAGGGCCCCAGCGGCAGGCCCATGCTTCCCGGGTTCATGCCAGCGGGGTGCAGGACACCTGTGTGCATGGAAGGGGTTTGCGCTGCGGAAGATGAGGAGGACGCGGACGGGTCGTTGTCGGCGGCTGCTGCGAGAGGGCTCGGCAGCCAGAAAACACGCCCTGTCGTGCGATGCGTGTAGAAACTGCACAGCCGTGCGAGCATGCGTGCGAGTGGAAGGGGTGCGGTGGGGAGGGCGTGTGAGGAGCATCAGCGAGTGTGTCGAGGAGGAAAGGGATCAGCAAGAACAAGTGACCTCAAAGCAACCAGGAGCCACATGCATGTAACTGACCAGCAAAGAAAGGGAGGGGGGCAAGAGATCGGCACTGAACACACACACACAAATGCACACACATACACAACACACGCACAATTGGTCGTGGTCGAGGCTGTAGGAGAGAAAATGATTGGCGAGAGCCGGGGGTGCTAACGCCATAATTCGCTCTGCAGCAACAGCATGAGCAGCAGCATGGGAAGAGGAAAGGGTGGAAGGTGCACATGGTTTGTCACAACATGCACCAGACAAGACGGCAGAGAAGTTAAGCCGCGCACGCGTGCGGGCATGTCATAGTGGTGGTGGTAGTGGTGGTGGAGCAGCAAGAAGAAAAAGCGTGCTGAGCAAGCATTCCTGATCGTACTCTTCTGTTCCGGCGTGATGATGCCGAGACCTGGTCTGTCCATGGACTTCTTGCGCGGTTCTGTTAAACCACGGCCAGAAAGTGAGCGAGCGGTCAGTTGGTTGAACAGCGCGAGGGCACAGACACGCGCACAAGCAAACACGCGCACAAGCAAACACGCGCACAAGCAAACACGCGCACTGCTCGCATGGATGCACGCAACAAAACACGAGCGCCACACAACACGAGCACACACACACAACACACACACAGACAGACGCACGCACGCACGCACGCAGACAGACGCACGCACACACGCACGCACAACACACACATACACACACCTCGCTTTGTCTTGCCCTGGAGGAGCCATTTCCGGGCCTTGCTTGGCTGTCCGTTGTGCTTTGGATTTGGTGGCACGAGCTCGTCGCACAGCGAACGGGCGGCAGCAGACGCCGGCGGCAGCGCCTCAATCTCTTTTGTGAAGCGCGACGGGCAGGCCAGGTAGGCCTTGGCCCAACGAACAAGCCGCCACAGCCGCTTGGGGCGAATGACAATGCCGCGGGCCGTGGCGTCGGCCATGGTGCGCACGCCGGCGTCCCACAGCTTGCGGCCCCACGTCACAGACTCGCCGACAGAGTTGATGCGGGAGGGCAGGTGGATGGTGCTCGCAGAGGCGTCGGCAGGCGTTGAGGATACGGACGGTGCGTCTAAGAACAAGAGCGAGGGTGGTCATCGTGGGAAGAAACAGCAGCGGAAAAGGCAGAGACCAATCGCATGTAGGACATGTGTATGTGTGTGTACGCCATGCATGGCCATGGTGACATATGATGAGAATACGCGAGCAATGGTGGAAATACATGTTACAATGCATGGTCTGTGTGTGTGTGTGTGTGTGTGTGTGTGTGTTGGGGGCGCCAGCGAGCGAGCTCACGCTACTGCACGCAAACACAGACACAACCATGCGCATATGTGCGTTTGTGCCTGTGCACGCTGCTTGCATGCACGCAGAGCAAAACACAATGAAACAAGCGAAGCGGCGCAGAACGTACGGTCACCCTCCACGACAGTGGATGTGGAAAGCAGGGTGCGTGTGCGGGAGACGTGTGACAGGATAGTGTAACGTGTGAAGGAAGAAAGGGAAGAAGGGAAGAAGGGAAGAAGGGAAGAAGGGAAGAAGGGAAGAAGGGAAGAAGGGAAGTAGAAAGGGAGAGGGGAAACAAAGCAAAGAACGGAGACGAACAAAGAAGCAACAGAAGCAGAGGGAGAGGGAGAGGAGGGCGCGTCTGACAACAACCACTGCAGTGTGGGTCAAGAGCGGCACCACACAAGAGTCGCTGAGTCATAGGCGTTCACGCTCACGAAACAACACTTCTGCACCGAAGGTTCACGGGTCAAGGAGCTCGCTGCTGGCGCTGTGGTGGGGGCGTGTGCATGGGATGTGGTGCGGACGGCTGCGGAGCAAAATGGATCAAGAAGGAGGGAGAGGGGGGGCAAGGGCAGAGGAGGCAAGTGGAAGAAGAGGCACAAGGCGGAAAAAAACAAAGCAATGACGTGGACCGAAACAGGTTCACTGTGATGACCGACCAGCGTGGTGAGGAGCGGGCAGGGTGGCGACAATGGGGTTGTCGAACGATCTGGCAATGACGGCTGACACGAGCGCGCGGGGACTGAGAGCTTCGCCGCATTGGCTGAGGCGAAGGGCCGACGGCGGGCACTCCACCACCTGCGGCATTTTGGCGGCAATGGCCTCTTTCAGGTCGTCCAGCGTCTGGGTGGCCGGGCCCACCTCCACCTTGGTTTCCTCTGTGGCAGCTTGGCCCGTGTGCGTGAACACCTGGAACCACACCACCGATCGCGGTGGCACGGCAGTTGCAGCGGGCGTAGAAGTGGCGGCAGCGGTGGCAGCGCTGGGCGCCGTGGCAGTGCCACCAGCAGCAAGCCGTGTTGGCGTGGGCGTCTGTGCTCGGGACGATCGGCTCGAGGCATGACTTGAACGCGGACCGGAGGTAGCACGAAGCCGCGGTTTGGTGGGGACACGACCGCGCTCCTGCTTGACGGCCGGCTGATGGCTGCCCTCTGTTGCGGTGGCTGCGGCAGCGGCGGTAGTGGTGTTGGTGGTGGGTGCGGGTGGTGTGGATGTGGATGTGGAGACCTGTGTGATGCCGTGCGGTGATTGGTGTTGGTGCTGGTGGTGCTTGCTGCTGTGGCGCTGGTGGCCGCCGTTGACAGCGCTGCTGTAAGCGTTGGTGCCAATGGCGGCCGGGTATGTGGGATGTGGGTGCATGTACACGGATTGGTATTGGTGGTGGCGTTGGTGGCCCATTGCGTGGGAGGCGGCAGTCAAGGCACCACCACTTCCGTCACCGCCGCCTGCGCCTGCCATGGACTGCATGTGCATGGGCACTTGCGAAGCCATGCCGGCGTGCATCATGTTGCTGATTGGCGGTTGCATGGCCCAGGGGAGAACGTGTTGTGGCTGCAGCTGCATGTGGCCCATCTGCATTGGGTGCATGGCGTGCATTGTTTGCATCGTTTGCATGGACGGCATGGACTGCATGTGCATGAGCTGCTGGTGGTGGGCCACGCCCTGTGCCGGTGCCGTTTGACCTGGTTGGCCCATGGCGGTCATGGTCGAAGATGGCGTGTAATCCAGCATGCCCGGGTTTGGTGCGTTTGTGAAGTGAGGGCCATACCCTCCTCCATACTGCATGGTTCCAGCGCCGCGATCGTGTCGGTTCCGTCCCAGCTACACTCTCTGTGTGCGCGCGTTGGATTGCAAAATGCGCGTGGTGGTGGTGGAACAGAAGGAGGCAAGGGAACAATGAGGGAGGGAGGGGTGTGAGGGTGAGCTTGAGTGTGCTGTTGACGTTGACCTGTTGACGTGGACTGTCCTTCGTGTGCCAGCCGTTGTGACGTTACACAACAATAATAACATGTATGCACACAGGCGGTCAGTTGTGTGTATGACAAGTGGCTGCGTGCGGCGCGCAGCCACGACCCGAAAAGACACGACTTGCAGCCACGTCACAACACCATCTCAATCACAAAACAAAACCACATACGCGCGAATCACTCATGTGCCATGGCACATCACATGGTGCTTGCAACCTTCCTTCCTTCCTGACTCCCTGTCTTGCCTTGTTTCCTTTTGTCGTGTCATGCAATCCCACCTCCAACCATACACCGCCCGACGACGCGCAGATCTCGCAACAACAAACCTTGTGTGCTTGTGTTCCTTTGTTTTGGTTTTTGCACCCAAGGTGCTGTCGCGCTGGGTTCACAGCACGCACAAGCTTCCTGTGACAGACTGGCTGGCTGGTGGCGGTTGCGCCTCTTCTTGCTTGCCTGCCGGCTATGCTTCTTGCTCGCGATGGCACCGCCCAGCCTGAACAGTTGCGACACGTCAGGCGCTCTTACTGCAATACAACTAAATGCACATGGAATCACACGCTTGGGAAGAATAAAATATGCACCAGTCGACTGACTTCAGTCCAGGTGGTCGCCGAAGGCAAAAAAGGAAAAAAAACCACAGCCAGCCAGCCAGCGAGCCAGCGAGCAACGGTTTTCACCAACCAACCATCCATTTGCGACAACCAAACAGCAAGCAAGCAAGCAAGCAAGCAAGCAAACACACAAAAGCTACACAGCCAGCCAGTCAGCCGTCCTTCCTCGACCTTCCCAAGCAAGCAAGCAAGCAAGCAAGCTCTCCCTCCTTTTGCATCTACACCACAGCTTCAAACCATGGTGTGTTGTGTGTATGCGAGAGAGAGTGTGTGTGTTGTAGCCGGCCACGGCCACTCAAACAACCATGTTCATGTCAGCCAATCAATCGTGCATGCATCGCAGATCATGCCGGCACATGTGTGTGTGTGCGTGTGCGTGAGCACACAAACAAACACTTGACCCGGCACACACACACACACACACACACACAATAACTCTCACACACTCACACACACACACTCACACACGCACAATAACTCACTCACACACACACACACGCATTGCATCACGCACAGGCTGCTCGTCGTACAAGGAAGCGCCGCGTGCAGCGGGCCACGTCCAATGTGTTTGCCATGTTTGACGAGGCACAGATCCAGGAGTTCAAGGAGGCCTTCAGCATGATTGACCAAAACCACAACGGCGTCGTCGACGAGGAGGATCTGCGGGAGATGTACTCCTCCCTCGGTGCGTCCATTCTCTGCCTTTTTGTTGGGGGCTGCTCACCAAACGACACACAACAAACAACACACGCAACGCAACACAAACTCTCAAACAAGCGTGCACACATGTACGTGCTGCCTCACACATTAACCTAACCCCTCACACACACACACACACAACACATGTACAAACACACACACACACACAGGTCAAGTGCCTGATGACGCACAGATCATGAAGATGCTGAGCGAGGCACCAAACCCAAGCAAGCTCAACTTCACCATGTTCCTCACGCTCTTCGGCGACAAGATGACCGGGTATGATCCAGAAGACGTGATCAAGAACGCATTCGCATGCTTCGACCCGGAAGGCACGGGCAAAATAGATGAGGACAAGTAAGCGTCACCGCCCCATTTTGCGCCTGCCCTGCTTGTGCGCACTCGTTTGCAACTGCCGCTCACTCATTCACTGCGCTGCACTGCACTACACTACACTTCGCTTGTGTGCGAGCGAACATTATCAAGTGCCACCAACATGTGTGACGTCTGTGCTACGATGAGCTGTCCTGCAACTCACACACACACACACACACACAACGCAACACAACGCAACACAAAGGCTGCGTGAGTTGCTGACGACGATGGGAGACCGGTTCACAGACGAGGAAGTGGACGAAATGTTCAGAGGAGCGCCCATTGACAGCGATGGAAAGTTCGACTACAGAGAATACACGCGTGTGCTGAAGCACGGCGCAAAGGATGAGTCGTAAACTCTTCCTGTCCCCCTCCTCTCAAATTCATATCCCCCCCCCCCCCCCAACAACAACAACAACAACAAAAACACGTTTGCATCCTCTCCTCTTGCGTTCGCCCCTTCTTCCACATGTGTTCCGTGCTCCCCTACCTACCTCATCTGTGAGTTCTCCGTATTGCTGTTGTCGCGTTGACTGTGTTGCGACTTGATGTTGAGCAAGGCCTTGGCGCCACCAGTAAACCACTCACCCTCTCATCTACAATGAGCAACCACCATAAGTGTCTGTGTCTGTGTGTGTGTGTGTGTGTGTGTGTGTGTGTGTGTCTGTGTGTGTGTGTCTGTGTGTGTGTGTGTGCTTGGGATGTGACTTCTCAACGGATCGCGTGTTTGTCACTTTGTGCCATCCATTATCATCATCAGGAGTGCACACAACTCAATGGGAAGGAAATGTTGAAACCAAACAAAAGCATGTACAAAATGGCTCACCCATCCATGCCACACGCTCACCGTGACAATCAATGAATCAACCAGTCGTGTCAAATCAAAACCACAGCGATTCACACATGTGCACATCCCCACAGATACACTCACAACAGCACTCGCGCTACATGTTCATACACACACACATAGTCACACTCCATTCGCACACACACAGAGTCACGATCACACACAAACACACGATCACACACACACACACACGTGTTCATCATTGATCGTCATCATCGTCGTTGCCAACCGACATGAGCGTTTCCTGAATGGCGGGCGGGTCGTCAAGCCCAGACGGCTTGCGAGCACCACCAGAGCCATCACCACCAGTCACCTGCGCATCAATCAGGGCAGAGGGCTTGCGCGCAGCCGTGCTGCTTGCATCGTCATCGCCCCACGTGGTTGTTGGCACCACGCTTGTCATGGTGGTCTTGCTCATGGTGGCCATGGTCTCAAACTCATCGCCGGCGTCGGTGTTGTCGCCATCATCATCGCCAAGCTCGTCCTCGACGTTGATCGGTGACGGCCCAATCAGCGACAGCACAACAGGCAGCAGCACCATCCCGTTGAGCGAGCACACCACCACCGTCGCAAAGAACATCTGCAGGTCATCAAAAAAGAACCAGAAGTGAGGGAAAGGAATGACCGAGCAAGGAAAGGTGGGGAGCAGGCAAGGAAGGGCGTGCGCAGGTAAATGGCACGCAATTGTCGGAATGTGCAGCAGAGTTGATGTTGCAAATGCTCACGCAAATGGGCGCCAGCAGCTCAAACACGCGCTCTCAAAATACCAACGCAGGCATCACACAACAACCCCCAGCGTGTCGGCTGTGGTGCACTCACGCCAAAGAAGTATTCGCGAATGAAGCCTGTGTCTGAGCCGGCAATGAAGAGCGTGGTCAGAATGGACGACACGGCACCGTGGAACATGGCTGTGCCCATGAACCCAAGGGCGTTGCGTACCCGCAGCACGCGGCTCTCCCCTGCAGATTGAAGGAGAAGTGGGGAGGGGCAGGATTAAGGGCACGGCGTGAAAAAAAAAAAAAAAAAACAGAGAGTTTGGTCAAGACGAGGGTACACGTGCAGTGCCAAGGAAACAAGCACAACAAGCACAAGCACAACAAGCACAACCGTAGACGTGCACACACACGCACACGCACGCACGCACGCACACACACACACACACACAGACACACACAGACACACACACACACAGACACACACACACACGTACCGCGCTCTGCGAGAAACTGATGGGTAATATGCGCAGTAAATTCAATGCCCATACCCACAGACAGGCACAAGTTCACGAGCGAGAAGGCGTTGTTGCGCACATCCCAGATGCTGTGTGAAGCGGGAACAGTGTGCGTGCGTGAGAGACAAGTTGAGGTGGGGATAACGAGTGAAAGGACGGCCAGCAACGAGGAGAACGCACAAGTGCATGGACATGCAGATGCTCATCCATGCTTGCAAACGCGCGCGCGCACACACACATGCACACACACACACACACACACATGCACACACACGAACACGTGCAGCGCGATGCAAAGGGCTTACGGGAGGAGGCCGTACACCTCAATGACGGCCATGAGGACAATGACGCAGAGAATGACAGAGGCGAGCGGGTTGAACTGGAGCACGAGCGTCGCAATGAAGACGCCCACCACGCACAGCCCCACAATCAGGTACAGGTTCTCCTCGCTGCAACGTTTGTGATTCAAAAGGAGGAAGAAAGAGCGGGCAAGCGCACCACAAAGTCAGTGTCTGTGTATATGTGTGTGTGTTGCTGCGCTTCAGTGACAGGTTCCCTTTCTCACACGAGAGAACCGAGCGGTACACGCACAAACTATCACCTCACAACGCACATACATGCGAAAACCTGACACACACACGCACATCTTACCTGTGCAAGTACTGCTCCCAGATGAAGTGGACGTAGCCTGTTGCGTATGTGTTGTACTTGGTGTCGTTCCCGCGGTTGGCATATGCGTCAACAACAGGATCCAGCTGTGCACGCGTCTCACGGATCGCGCTCGTAAAGTCGCTGTTCACCGCCAGGTCTTGCAGGTAGAATGTGCCCCGCACAACCTGTACACGTGGTGTGCGTGTATGTGTGCGTGTATGTATGTATGAGTGTGTGTGCGCGTGTATGTATGTGTGTGTTGTGTGTTTGTGTGTGTGTGTGTGTGTGCGCGCGCGTGTTGCATGGAAAGGTGAGACAAGAAGACAAGAAGGTTGGGGGAAAGCGGAATCATGCAAGGTTGAGACTACAAGCATCACGACACATCACCACCAGCACAGCACGTATCCAAGCAGTCCCCTCTCCCTATCCCCCCCCCCCCCTCTTCCCCTCCCCAAACAGGTGCCACACAACATACGCTGAGGGTGATGTTTGGGTTTGACCCGGCGCGAGGCTCGTCATCGAAGGCGCCAACAATGTCAAAGCAGTCCGCAGTCATGCCAGTCGACGCATCAATGCACGACAGGTCGGCAAGGTAGCTCACGCCGCCAGCAGCAAGCCACGACGCAAACGCAGGGTAGAACTCCTCCTCAGGCA